TTTTTGATAGGAAAACATCAGACAGGGAAATGTGACTGTGGGGAAGATGAGACTGTGGAACATGTCATTTTAAATTGTAGTAAATATTCGATACAGAGAAACAGGTTAATAAGGAAACTTAGTGACATGAAAATGAAACTTGACATTGTAGATTTATTGCAGAAAGAATCAGGAAGCAGAGGATATCGGGTTATATTTGAATTTTTGAAACAGATTAGGTTGTATAATAGGATATAGTTTTTTTTTTTTTTTTTTTTTTTTTTTTTCTCTGTCATGTAGTCCACACTCCATACCAGTTAGTGGCGGTAATGCTCACCTAACGTTTTTTGCCAACCGCCAATAAAACTCAATAAGAAGGAGAAGAAGTCGGATTTTCTTCAAGTTACGGACAACCGAAAGCAGCAGCAGCGCCGACAGTAGTGGGGAGAACACCTTTAAATGTAAGTAGTTTTTTTTTTTTTTTTTTTATTAACATCTATTAAAATACATGACGGTAACGGAGCCACCGGAATGTGTAGGAGCAGCTAAAGCTAAAGCTTAGAGCTAACCTGTTGATACGTGATGTTCATCAACAATTAAAAGCCTTCATACAAATGTCACTATTTTTTATTTTAACCTACATCTTACTGTACTGATAGCCGTATCCCTCACTAATCAGATCATTTTATTCCCAAACAGTTTATTACAAAGGATTAGAGCTGTTAAAGCTTAATGCAGCTGAAGAAATAACATTAGTCCAGCTGTACTGGGCTGTTAATACTGCAAACATTTTGTTTTAATACTCAATAACCAATAGTTTATTTCCAGTACATTATAATAAGGGTTAAAGTATAATTCGCTTGAAGAACAATACAGGCGTAATTATACAGAACAGTCATTTTGCCTGTTGAATTAACAGAAATATGCTTTACATGTCATTTTGTTCCAGGGAGCAGACAGAGGAGTGGATAAAATGACCACCTTATCATCGGGGCCAAAGATACTGCTGCAGGCGGATGGAGGGAAGAGTTGAGGCAGAATTCCATCTACATGTTGCATTTCTATGTAAAAGTCACACAAGTTAAAAGAAGTCCTGTTCAAACACCAACGTACAAATATAATCTTTTGATCACATCAAATGATGCTCAGATGCCACTTTTTGTAAATCTCCTATTTGTGATAGAAGTGATCCTTGTGTGGGACAACTAAAAAAAAAAATACAAAGTATGTTCAGGTTTGGATAATGTAATGAAACACACACACCCCTATATATATATATATATATATATATATATATATATATATATATATATATATATATATATATATATATATATATATATATATATATATATATATATAATGTATGTATGTGTGTGTGTAGGGAAATTACATCTTTCATTTATTATATTCATGTTAATTTCCACTTTGAGTAAGCTTGAAAAAGTAATCTCCAGGTTACCATTCCAAAGTCTTTTTCTGTAGAATTTCATCAATCCATCCAAATCATGAAACCTTCCTTTTTTCTAGCTTTAAAGATGTTTCTTTAAAGCTAGAAAAAAGGAATGTTTCTACAGAAAATAGCATCTGTTGATACAAATTGTTTTCCTCTACTTTAGGAAAGAAAAGATCCAGGGCAGCAGGTAGCCTACTGCTGCCACCTGGCCCTGGTTTGTCCTCATGGATGAGGTATTAGGACAGAGGCCCTCTGTTGCCCCACCTGTCCTAATTGCCTCCATCCCTGAGGACACACCAGGGCCAGGTGCTGCAGAGGCTGAGCAGCATCAGGGTGAAGATGAGGAAGAGAATGAGGATGAGAGAGGAGGGAAAGGATGAAGAGAAGAAGAAGGAGTGAGGAGTTGGTGGATTTAATCAGGGAGGATATCAGATGGCAGAGGGAGGCGGGAAAGGATGGACAGATTATTTCATTTATTGGAGAGGATGGTGGACAGATGTTATTATTTTTTTGGTGTTTTTTTTTTTTAACAAGTTGAAGTTCTGTGTTGCTGTTATTAAATTAAATTATTAAATTGTTTATAAAAGTTTTTGCTGTCGGTGTGTTCTTAAAGTCTTTTAACCTTTTTACATGATCTGTTTCATCACTTCTTTACAATTTAAGCAAACTTAGAACAACTTCTCAGTGACAGTTTATTTTTAGAGAAGCAAGTATTTACAATAAACTATTAAACATTTTTAACTATTGACATTAGATTTTAAAATTAACTACTACAACTATTTACAGAAGATATACAGTAAATATTACTAAAGAACATATATATACAATTGTGACTGAGCAGGAGTCCCTGGTGGTGCTGCTGGACTGGGGTAAACGTGATGACGTCGTGTCGCAATCAGGAAGTGCTCCAAAGGCTAGACCGTCCCATTTACCAACGGCTGAGGATCCTCCGGAGCAGCCTACCAAGTCTGGGTCCTCCGGAGGCTAGGTAGGCTGCGTCCTCGGAAGTACGCAGCCTGCGAATTGAGACGCAGCCATAGTCCCCGCTCTATATAGTGATAAAGGGATATTTTTTTTATTGAACTTTTTTGGTCTCACACTGGAAAAATTTTAACCCATCCCCTTGGGGAGCAGTGGACTGCCATTGTGCGGCGACCGGTGACCACACTGACCCCACCCAGAGTGGCAGCCCGTAGGAGTGGGGCTTGACCTCAGAACCTCCGGTACCCAAGCGTAATGCTGTAACCAGTTGCTCTGGCCAATAAAAGGTGCAAGGGTGCCACCCCACAGGCTCAACTATCTTGATTTAGACATAAGAAAAAAAACAAATTAAAATTAAATCATAACATTTATATTTTGATGTTTCTCAGCCCTAGTAAGCAAAAATGTTTGCCCATTGACTCTCGTGAAAAGTTCTACATGCGCAGTCGTTCGTCTCAAGAACCTTCGTCACAGTTGTTGTGCAGGTGATTGACAGGCCGAGTCGCAGAAGGGAAGCTGGAGGTGAAACCTTTTGGACCTGATCAGCTGAACATCAAAAATAATCAGCAGTCCAAAGACAGATGGAGAGGGTACACTGTATTTTTCCAGGACCTGTTTTAGCTACTAGGCTTGGCTAACTGCATGCAGCGAGGCTAACGCTTTATTTTACTGCAGTGACTCGCTGCCTCCTTTTTCAAACGTCAGGATCTGACCCAGCATGGATAAAGAGAGGTAGGACTGAGTGTACTTTTTCTAGTTGTTTGTTAATTTGCATAGTTGCTGTTAAATACACAAAAAAACACATTCTCAGGAAATAAATAGTTTATATATATTAAAAAAATATAAAGCTTATAGCTTCTCGTGATCAAACTGTTATTATTTTTCTATGTTTGTGACGCCATATTGGACCATGCAAAACACAGATTTGCCTTCACAAAGCCTCAGAAGGGCAGGATTTATGTACAAAAAGTAAACGTGTAAATGAAATAATGTTTTGTTTTTATTAAAAGCAGTTTTGTAAGTGTTTTATAATGTTTTTTGTTGTTGCCATTAATATAAATATACTGGTGTGATAACTTAATATACGATTGATTGGTTTTTGCTATACATCTATTTTGAATAGATGCCTCTGGCTCAAACCATGAGGCCACCACTCCCCATTTTGGGTTTAGGATGGACGTTCGGACATGGCCATAGAGTGGTGAGTAATAAAAACAAATATAAAATCTGGCAAAGCAGCACGTGTCCTAACCTTTCATGGATTATCCTGGATCTTCAACAAATGGACTACAACAGGAAGCCTCATCCATGTTAGCCCAATTTACATCTAGCTATTATTTATGCCTATAATTCATTAGTATATTTAGAATTGTATATGTAACACAGATTCTTTTTTTATATTTTATTGTGTTTCTTTAGAACCCTGCTACCAGCTACCCTTTGTTCTACATCAGAGCCTGGACAATGTTTAACACCTGTGATGCACAGGGAGGATGTGGTTTCTGTCAAGTTGGTGTCTCCAATAGGGTGTCCAGTTCTGCTCATAGATCAGAGACCAATGCTCTGATGAGTCTGATTAGATGATAAAGCAGTCTTCATCCCATGTAAGGAAACACTGGTAATCCCTGAAAAGGAGTTCCCTCCTAATTTACCCATTTACAGAGTCTCCAGCATAGCCACAGCATCCACCCCCCACCATTAGCCCAGTCGGCCTCGGCAGATGGCCGCTCACACTGAGCCTGGTTCTGCTGGAGGTTTCTTCCTGTTACAAGGGATTTTTTTTTCTCTCCACTGTCGCTACAAGCATGCTTAGTGTGAGGGATTGCCTTCGAGTCAATGAGTCGATGCAATCAACTGGTTTTCCTTAGACAGAAAACATTGAATCCAATTGACTGTATGATCTGGCTGAACTGTAAAGTGCCTTTAGGTGACATGTGTTGTGAATTGGCGCTTTAAAAATAAACTGAATTGAATTTAAACTACGCACAGGTGGTTCCGTGGTTTTTAAATGTTTAAAGCAATCTCTGTGAATTCCTCACACCTTGTTGTGAGAAATGTACATTGATCTGTGGTACAGGTTGAGCCCAGTTAATCACTGTGAAGATCTAATCAAGCCAATTTAAAATTAAAGTTTAAATTAAGGTAAGTGTAAGTCTAAGAAAAATTACAAAGCAATCTGGCTTCAGTTTCCCAGCTTTATCACCATCTGCGTCTCTACTTTCCTCTCTCTCATTTTCACACCCAGTTTGTTTTTTTGTAGATCAAAGCTTTTGCGTAGAAGTCGGCGAGGGCAACTTTTCAGGCTGCGTTAAGAGCATACACAAGCTTTAATCCAGTAGAGTTACTTAAAGAAGAGTCTCAAATGAGAATTGAATTATGGTGGTAAAGAAGACAGAATAATTTGCAGCAACTCATGCCATCATATGCTAATGTGCCAGAATTTCCCAGTGATGTGTCTGACACCTTCTTGAATCTATGACGGGACAAATTAAAGCAGTTTTAAATGTAAGGTGAGCCCAAACTGTAACTAGCAAAGTGTACCTAATAATTTGGACGGGTATCGGATAATCACTGAAAAACTTACCGCAGAGAGTTGACAGCAATCTCATGGGCTTCTTTGGTAGCGGTTGTGAGCACCTCAAACAGCTGCATCAGCACCGTTGGGAGGAAGGTGATGATAACATGAGTCTCCACAGCATGTAGGCACTGCAGGAGGTAATAATGCCAGGAGGCAACAAATGAGTCTCAGATTAACCAATTTAAAAGTCATGAGAGGAATGATGCACAGTGGAAAACTCATAGTTCTGCATGGACCTGGGATCAAGCTGCTCTAAAATTTTAAGAGGCTGTGTTTTTATAAATGCTTGAACCTGCAGCCATTTTCATTTTTTTTTATATATTCCTCCAGCAATTTTTCCACTAATTGAAATGTCTTTAAATACACATCAACATTAATTCAACACACTGTAGTAAACAGATAAATGGAGGCAGAAGATGTCTTTCAGGCATCAATGCACACATTCAGCGACACACAGGAGCTCTTTCAAGCTGGGCACCGTTTCATTCACAACACCTGTCCCATTAACCAGGAATCAGAATCAGAAATACTTTAACAATCCCAGGGTGAGATCACTTTCATTACATTACTCCATCTGTAATAGAGTGACTAAAGCACCAGTTTGATATAATACAATTTCATACAATATATATAATTAGGGGGTCCCCGCTCCATCTCGCCATCAGTTTGGGGGTCCTGGGCATTGAAAACATTGAAGACCCCTGGTCTAGAGTAATTCAGTTTCCCCTCCCCCACGTGTTGCTGATCATGCTGCTAGTCAGCCGGCTGAAACAATGTTACACTGCTTTTACCCTTGTTATTTGGAAATATTTCAGGTACAAAACTTCAACATCTTAGAAACTACAGAACCAACAGTTGAAGTACGTAGTTTAGTTGACAGCAAGCTAGTAGGCTAGGAGATATCCCATAAAAATGTGTTATATTCTTTAGTCTATTTGAGGAAAATCAGCAAAAAAGTATGAATAATGTGCATTACAAAGAGTTTACTTGAAAATGAAAAGTTAACATTATACTTGCTTATTTTATGCACTATTTCAAGTCTATGTATCAAGTTTATAATAACAATCCGTGTACTATAATAAATATCTTATATAATTTTGGTAGAATGAAGACTAACTGGTAATTGAAAAATGCCTTTTTTATAAATAAAACTAAGCTGAAGATGAAGCACTGCAGCACTGCAGCACTGCTATCTGGATAAATGACATCACAAGAATCACAGAAATTGAGCTATAAGCAGATAATTCTGAAATATAGACCATATCATGCAAATAGACAAAAAAAATGGAGTTAATCTAACAAAATGCGAAATTATAATTCAGTTTGGTAAAAAGAATAATGCTTTTCAAAACCCACTCAATGTAATTTCCTCAGTTAATCAGTTTTAAAAACAAACTTAATCACAGCTAATTCAGGTGAATGATGGCAGCTTTACTGAGAATAATGCCATTTATTTTTCTCAAACTACTGTTTGCTGTTTTTGAATCATAGAGAAAAAAGAAACATGCAAATTGATACTCACTTAAATATCACAAAACTCAGCTGACAATAAAGTGAAAAAAAGAAACAGCTGGTTGTAGTTATAGGTTACTTCTCCCAAATACTAACTAGGTTAGTAACACAGTTACTGCCAAATTAAAGCAACTAGTTATCATTTTGCTTTCTCTTCCTTTTTTTCAATCTTAAGGATTACAATTTTTGTGGTAAAACCTGGTCTGAAAGCCCTTGGTATTTTCCCTTGGTATATTTTGTTTTGGGACCCTTGCAGAACCATTACCCGCCTCCCATCCACTATGGAAGTAAATCTGTGTCGCTGGGATTTGAATAAAAAATGCCACTGAAATTTAAATGTATGTTTGTACTTACTGTTTCGGTGTTAAAATATATTCAGAACACATTATAGACCTAAAAAAAATGTATTGTCATTATCTCTACACAGTTGAAATTTCATTTGTTATTTTCTCTTCACGCCAAAAATTCACATTACTATTTTAAAGTAATTACATTTTCAATACTTATTTTTCAGTTTAATTTTTGAGTGTTAAAAAAATTTGCAGATGAAAAAATTCAACCTTTCAAAATTCAAACTCCATATTTTCAGCCTCCTGAGATTCAACTGGCTCTATTTCACTGTCCTAAATTTGGCGTCTAAATTCAGTGTTAAAAGGGAAGGGTTACTTCAGGTCACAGACATTAGCAATGGATTGTGGCGTCCAACACCCAGCCAATCCCCTTACGTTTTCTTAGTCACGTGACGTGACGCTTGTGGCGCTCATACTGAGGGAAAACCAGCATCACGGAGCCGGTCATGCAAGCTAATGCTAACGCAACTACAGAAAAATGAAAGTTATAAACTCACCGTTGAGTTAGCGACACAGATTTACTTCCATAATCCACCCCCCTTTTAGAAAAAAAAATTGCAATCTATATATTGATATTGATTTTCTTAAAATCTATGCTTAAATATATTTTAAGCATAGATTGATTTTCTTAAAATCTATCTAAGACACACTAAGCATTCAGGATCTGGGTGTAAATAACGGTGTGTTGCTGCTGTTCACCTTCAGGTACTTGATGAGTTCTGCTGGGTTACCATTTGATGTGGTCTTCATCAGTTGGCAGTGCTGGAAGAATTTATGCAGATGGAGGTCCTGCGGTGGAGAATACAAAGCTGGGGCATTAGAATCGTTTCCTTACCATCTTGCTTCTGCTTCACTTTTGAATTGACGAATAGAGCAATCATGGCTGACCTGAGGATATATCGTCGATGCTACGTTGGTCTTTACTTTAAACAATGGCTTGGCATTTTCCACCCACTTGATATCTGGCTGGGACTGTAAGCAGGAAACAAAACAAGAAAAGAGAAATTCATTGACGTTGGTTGTTTTTTTTTTTCTTTTTGAGACTCTTTAGTACTAAAAATACTGACATCTTAGACACTTTGCACATAAATTCAACTTTAGAATAGGTTGATCAGACTCGGTGTGAGAGAACAAGTATCTACCTTTCTGCTGTCTTGACCCATATATCCAGCAGGTAGAGTAGCGGCTACAGGTAACTGGATCTCAGATGACTGCATCCTCCCATCTTTGAGCAGAGGCATCCAGGAGTAGCCCACTGAAAAAAGCCCACAATATTAGCAGCAGACAGGCTTTTAACTAAATATCCCAGTTCTACCATCCACGGTTATTTGTTTATTTGCTTAAATTATAATGATTAAGCCTTAAATTAAAGGAATAACATTACACACAGCAATAGTTATGTAACCTGACTCCGCCAGATGGATTTGCTCCGCATATCCATCTGGAAACCTTCCGTTGAAGTAATTTTGGGAAGGGGCGAAAATACTGGTTAGCTGATTGGCCTATGTTGGTGATAGACGGGCCACATAAACCAATCAGATCAACGAAGCATATGACGTACTAACAGAGCGACGACGAAGAGGAGCCAATTGATAGATCAAACTCTTGCCGAAACCAGTCGGGAGAAGAGCAAAACATCTTCTCCTCTGAGAAAAGCCTCCAGAGCAGTGTTTTACTCTTCTTTCAATGAAGAAATACAGTGTAATTCCGATAAAACTTGCTCTGAAGCCGCCACGTTCTATAGCTTGAATTATCGCGCTTCTCGTTGCGTCACACCTCAACCCGCCTTAAAGCCAACGCTGATTGGACGTTCGTTTGGTGAACGGCTCCAAATTTTCTTTAACGGAGAGTCTCCAGACTGATCTGAGAGTGAAACCTTGAAAGCTCGCGAGATCAGGATGGTCTCACGAGGCTTATAGTGTAGTTATAAAAGTGAGCCGTCCTTTAATTACAAAACCAAAGCATCCAAGAGAAACAAATCAAAGCTCCAGCTTAAAAACGCATTTCCTTTTTCAATCCTCAATATAGGGAGGAATAAAAAACAAAGGAAAATTCAAGCACAACTATTATGTACATCATAATTCATTCTCTGCCCCTTTTCTTTCTCTACACACGGAAATATGAATTTTGTGTTCCTATAATTTGCTATTAAAAATAGTTCACAAACTCTCCTCTGAACACTAAAACATCACATTTCTCGACATGAATCCCATCTTGACGCCATCTTTAGCTGCTTACTGCAGATCAAAGATCATTACTTCATGTTTAAATTGTCTTTTTTTCAGGTTTATTTCTCCATGGAGCTTTGGTTTTAGTTTAGCTGTTTTCATTGTTTTTGCTTTTACTGTGAGGTGAAAAATTCTCAAACTGAGCTAAACGATCATTGCGCATTACTATATCAATTCTGAAATGATACACTGCCCCCCAACAGTCAAAAATGCAGAGCTACACTCACCCAATGTCTCCACTCCTTCTTTCTTTTTGCTGCTCGCCTTACTGCTGGACTCACAGCTCATGTGGTAAAAGGTGAACAGAATGTGGTGTTTCTCATGCACATGGACGGGCAGCTCGATTTTAACCTGCATACAGAAGAATAGCATTGTTTCAGGTTTAATTACACACCAAATGAGGAATCAGACCCTTGTTTCCAAAGAACATTTCTTTTCTTAACTTCTGATGCTTTCAACTACAAAGCTGACCTCAGCATTAAACAAAACTTTATTTTGAACCACCTGAGAACCTTCCAGTGCAAAGGATCTTATATTTTTGAGAGAACACATGTTTTTTATTTTAATACTTAGCCTGCAAATGAGGGCTCAGGTTAAATAAATTAACTGGATTTAGACTTAATGATGCATGATTAATTTGATTTGCTTCAAAGAAAAGCTCCAGTAGGACCTGGTACTCCAAAAGGGATGATTTAATCAGCCTTACTCTATATTTCTATAGAGCCACCATTTGGCTTTCTATAATAGTGTAACAGTGAAATATGTCCATTCTGGCCTTAAACAGACTGGGAGAGCAGAGATGGGTAGTGACTAGTTACTGGAGTAACTTAAAAAATATATCGTGCTTTTAGGAGTCGTGTTTCTTTGCTGTTACTTTACTTTTTATTTTTACTTAAGTTAATATTGTTGTGAGGGTACTGCTACTTTTACTAAGTAAAAGGTCTGGCTACTAGACCCACCATAAGTAAATGAAGGTATTTAGAGATCTGGTTAGTGTCCAGTCAAAAGTAGATATTGTAGCTGGAAGTTCTTTATTCTTTCTTAACTTTACCTACTGTAAAAAAAATGGTTTCATAGGATTACATTAAAACGAAAGTGAGAAAGTGGGAAAATGTTTCTTTTACACAAATGTATTTGTATTTCTTTAGGTTTATACTTTGACATTTCTGAATTTCCACAAAGCTGTCTGATTACATAACTGTTATCATTAAGTCAGCAAACAGTCATGTTTGAGCAGCCATTTTACCAAAAGTTGTTTTTATTCAGAATCCATTAACTTCTTGATGACTAATTTCTACTTCTCATCTGTGCTTCTTTTACTCAAGTTAAATTTTTAAGACTCTACACTCCTCTGCTGGAGAGTTTCACGAGGCAGACAGATAAACAAAATGTTACAACTCCTTACCTGTAACGATATATACTAAAGCAATAAGAATACATGTAATGCCACAGAGCCTCAAAGTTATGATAACTGATAACTTACTAATGCCCAATATCAACAAAGGACACTCAAGCTATCAGTATTTTTCTCTCTTTATTTACTATATATCAGTAAATTTAATGCTGTAATAATCCAGAAAGCTAAGAAGATGAATAAACACAGTTAAATCTAGAATCTTCATGATGGTTCTGGCAAAAAGTTGGGTTTTTTTTCGTCAAATGTGGTCTGAAAAATCCCCCTGTGGTCAGAAGAGCAATATGTTTCTGGATTCATGCAGAGACATCAGATTTTCTCTGAACCGGGTCTAAACTTAAGAGTTTCTTTGTTTCAGCTGATGGCACTGCTCTCTTTCATCAACCAGCAAGGAGGAGAAGCATGTTTTTGTCTGGCATCTTATTAAATTGCTAATGTACCCTTTAGTTAAGTAACCGTTTTTGATCACTTGCATACCCCTCCCTCAGTGAGGTCTAGAAGCACAATATCTATATCCAGCCATTCAGCAAAGATGCTGCTACATGGCTGTACATCTTATTTTGGCTTTTGACCAATTAGATGAGCCCATGAATGATATATGAACAACTATATATTCAGTTGGGGGAAAAAAAGTTAACAAGTCAAGAACAAAAAAGGTAAAAAGATCATTGAAAAGTTAGAAAGTTAATAACCCTAGTTAACAATTATATTTAGGTTTACAAACTAAACAATGTAAGTACCAGTATCAGCATTAATGCCTCTAGGGTTCTGTTGTACCCCCAAAAATGTGTTTTTTTTACTCTCAGATTGTTTCTCATGAATTTCTTATACAGTAGAAGCACTTTTGTTATTTTTCTTAATATATTCAGGCAAGTTGGCGTTTCTCGTCATTACATTGACATATACACATATTTTTTTATGTTGCAAAGGTAATAAGGTCTTGTCCTGAATTCCAATAACACTATGGCTTAATATTTTTGATTTTCCCTGAGTGCTCTATAAAGGGTTAACATGTAACCTGGTGTAGGGACTTAATTTACTTCAACTTCTTTTTCATAAAGAAAAATCATACCGTTCTTAATTAGGAGACTGTCTAGTCTAATCTAAGTAACAAAACTACCAAGTTGGCATTTAGTATCCGTATTTTCTCTAAATATTATATCTCAAATAATACTTTACAACATAGTTTCAAGAGGCACCAGTTTCTGATTCTAATTTAGGTTCAATACGAATTATTTAAAGCAGTGTCTAAATATCAATTCTGTTTTTGTCTTGAAAAAAAAGAAAATGACTTTTATTATGTTGTTAAACCTTTAAACCCTTTAAAAATCTTGACTTAAAAACTAAGAAGGTTTAAAATTTAAAAAGTGGAAAAGTTCTCCTTCAGGGTTCTATATCATGCCTTTTAAGCCCCCCAAAAATTCTTCTACAGTCATATTCTTGATGGAATATATTCTTTGGCCGGATGGTTTATTTATTGTTAGGAAATATTAGTTGTTTTCTAGAGCCATTTTTGCATTACGCCTTCCAATGCAAAATCCTGTTAATGATGTCAGCGTTTGCTCCTGCAGGGGAGGATTGTTTCTCTTTGGGACAAATCAGAATCGCTGCCTGGTCAGCTGCTGACAAGCCTCTAGGATTGATTGACAGGTGGCGTCACAGCAACTGACACAACAACTGCAAGATCGCTGAATAAGCAAAGCTGACGAAGGCAGGATAGTTTTACCAGCGCAGCCATCAAGCACAATGTTACCCGAGGCATTTTGCCTAATTAGCAAACCTCTGTAAAAACAATAGGCAGCATTTTCTGCATTGAATGAGTAAAAATATTTCACAGCAGCAAAGGACAAATCAATGTTAAAGCCTACGCTTTCCATAGACACAAGAACAAGCATAAGGGCCAGTCAGCTGGCAGGGAGTGAATAGAGAGTACATGAGATCTGAAGCAGGTTTTAATTCATATATAATCAAAGCCAATGACAGCAAGTTGCCTTGGTTTTATTACACCTTGTGTTCTTAATCAAACAATGCAAACTTTTTCTGAGCTACATATAAATAAAAAAAGTAATTATGACAAAGACGAACCACAAGTAGCTCCTGTCAGTTCCTGCTGTGGTTAGTATGTGTTTTAGTTGGCACTCCTATACATCCTTAACATTTTTAAGACTACCTTTGGGTTTTGGAAGCAAAATAAACTCTTTTCCACGTTTTAATTACTGTGGGTTAAGCATTTAGCCTTAATTAGATGCCCGTTGAGCAAAACTCTGTGTTCGCTTCGCCTTCCTAAAACAGAACCCTCCTGATGTTTGCTTTAAGGTTATTGCTCTCCGGTTAATTAGTGACGATTTTATTTCAATCTGAAAAACTCACAGAGAGAGAAAGATGCAATTAGAAGAGTTTATTGATACGATAGTTTGAACTTTGGCGCTCAGGCCTCGGCAGGAAACATAAACGCTGATTTATACTTTAATGCAGATAAACTGATGTATGAGAATAAGGATATTCCCCCGGGCCTGAAACTGGTGGTGGAGTTTAGATAGATGAAGTTTGGTTAATCCATAGAGGCTGGTATACAGGGTGATGCTTGAGTTAGATGTCACTGAATGAACAGAGTTTGCATAAACTGTCCATGAAGAGCAAGCATGAAGCGACTGTGGAGAGACAAAAAAACTCCCCTTTGGGAAGAAATCTCTGACAGAACCAGGCTCAACATGGCGGTCTTCTGCCGGACCGTTTAAAGTGACAGGGAACTCCATGAAAGTCTGGAGGGAGCACACACTGGAGGTGAGGTTGAAGGAGCATCGGGGAGGAGTCGGATGAGCTTACTACAATGGTGGAGAAGGGGATGGAGGTGGGTTGTCTGAATCAAAGTCCGACATAGGAGCGATGGATCTTGCGCTTGTTGAAGAGCAGGCCTGGAGATGATTTGGAGTGGCTTTAAGTAGAGTGCTGGAAGATGATTGGGCATCGAGGAAAGTGGCTTGAAGCGGGTTGGCTGCATTGGAGGCGGATCAGCCTCAAATTGAATGGAAGTAATCAGAGTTTCTTCAGTTGAATTTCCGCCTTAGCTTCATTTTACTTCAATGTCTGTCACTCCAATCAAAGTTTATTTTTTTCTGTTTTTACTTTTCTAAAGAAAACATATCAAAAATATGTCAAGGGCTAAAATGTAATATTCATCAGGAATGGATATGATGGGGCCCTGTACAAAAACTGATCACCTAGCTGAAAGTGTCAATTGTTTATTAATCAAAATCAACAAAGGCTTTTCTTTTTCTGTTTTACGTATCAGAATTCTGAAATCTCAAATATTTATTTACTGATTTTCTTCGTATTTAATATAATAATATTGAAAAATCATTACTTTACTCAAATTCTACACAAAGCAGCAGGATATATGCTTCAGTGGGTAAATAAAATATTTTCTTCCCACATATACTCCACATATTCTCTACATTTAAAACAGTTGAGGGAACTAATGAGTCCAAATTCTTTATAGACTACCGATGAAAAAAAATATTTACTAATTTTTGACTGTACCATATTTTTTTATTATACTGCTGCATGATTTGACCCCACAGGTTCCTGAGATGCAGAAGAACATTTTGTTTCCACTAGAGGGCAGCAGCAGCAAAGAAAAAGCTGTTTCAGCATGATTTGTCACATGGCTATTTTATTACAGGAAATGACACATGATGCAGAGAACAGCTGCAGCTAGTGGGAAAAATCATACACATCAGAGGCACTTAGAAAAGCCATGGATGAATATCTGAACTCTATGCCACTGGAGCTTTGCTTTTCTCTCAGGAAAAAAAATTACAAGATGGTTTAGAAATGTCCATAAGACTGTGAGAGTCAAACAAGCCCATCTATAAACTATGAATTCATGTAAATATTTTAAATGAAGAGTTTTAAGAAAGATCCTGATCAGTCTGTTGTTTTCAGAGAAACTCACGCATGATGTGAGGGAGAACTGCTGCTAAAGTAAAACCTGCTTAAATCGTAATCCCTGTGATTCCAGGGCCATATGGACCCCCTGGAGTCCCCCCCCCCCCCATTATAACAATCTCCTGGTATTCAGTCAGCTCCAGGCTTGGTGTGTGCTGAGGAATCAGTGAGTTCACCGCTCTGTTTTGAGGCAGATTTATGAGATTATCTCAGCAGACCAACATAAAAGAGCGAATTTGTAGAGAACCTGGATCGCCTGATTACAGCTAACTTCATGTAGTTTAATTCCCCCGCCTACATTTCCTTGAAGCAGCTGTCCCAGGTTTGTTAAACTGTCCCACTGAAAATAAAAAGAGAGTGGCGAGTCTGACCTCATCATAGAACTCTGGGCTCTGGTTGTGGTGCAGGACGGCTGCATAGGCGCTGCTAGTGAAGAGAGAGTCTCCCGGCTTGCCGTAGATGCACTGAAAAGGAAGCAAAACACATGATATAAAAATATAGCCGTAAGAGCTCTGTAGACTTTATGACATGAAGAAAAAGTACAGGACAAAAAACAAGGAGTTCATAAGTGGTCCATCTCATAGAGAAAATGTTCTACATAGGCTGTAAAGCTTCTTAATAGTCCCATGCACTGCTTATCCTTTCAAGACTTTGATATATTTTCAAAAGAAATGGAGCTCCTTACAACTATACATGGCACATTTCAAATGTCAGTCTCCCTTCACTGGCATTCTCTGTGCTACACTGACATAAAGTAGAATATAACTGTGAAGTAATTGTCTAAACGTTATTAAACTTCCCAGAGTCAGTACGTTGTAGACTGATTGTACAACGTTCAAGAAGCTTTGCACAATCAGAAACCTCTTTTTACCAAATCCCTGTGTCACAAAGATCAGCCTCAGGAAGAATGGATGGAGAGAGTTTGACCGGCTCAGTCTAAAGGAATGCTTTGATCGAAACCACGGTTCCCACCTCCCCAATGTGCATCTGCTTCATCAAACCTTAATTCAAATTAATTAGGAACCTTTAAAACCAGATTCCAGGCCAAGGTGAAGATACTAGGATTGCAAATAAGAAATCTACTAAAAGCTAAAAGCTGTTTTGTTCCTATTTGAATGTGTTAAATGATCTAATTATGTCAGAAAAGAAGAAACTACAAAGAAGACAAATACTTTTTACAACATCTTTTATCCGGCTGTTTGAGTCAGGTGAGCGGGTCTAAAGTTTTCTTGGACACCAGACCCAGATTCCTGACCTAAACCAGTTAATCATTTATGGTTGATTCTGCTGAAAGTTGAACCTTTTCCATAGTTTCAAGCTTTACGCTCTGTGTTTTGTGATATTCATGTTTCCTTCTATGCAGACCCTCCCTGCCACCTATAAAGAAAAGCATCCCCACAGGACAATGCTGTCTCTACCTTGTGTTAGAGTAGGGATGGCATGTTCAGGTTAATATATGGTGCTAGGATTTCTCAACATGCAGAATGTTGCATATCATGTAAGCTCAATTTCGAAACAGCTTCTTTTCCATGTTTTTCTATTTCTCATTTTTTTTAATCACCAATTCTTCTCCTGCTATTTTCCATAAAGCAAAAATTACTGGAGTACATGGGTTAGAGCAAGTGTCCCCTATCTAAGTAACTAAGGCCCCATCCACACGAAGTCAAAACGAACACGAAACGCTGATATTTTCCAAAACGTTTGTCGTAAAGACGGAGACGTAAAATAAATGTGATCGACCACACGAATGCATGAAAACGCTGCAAAATGTATGCCAGGCCTGTAAGTGGCGCTGTGGTGCCAAAGCAAAAATAAGCGACGAAATGTTGGGCATGCGCACTAATATTTATACATGGTTGCCCTGCGGGTCCATTTTCGTGGTTCAGTCAAATTCAGGTGCTGAACTATGTCGTCGATATTGCTCTGTTCTTCCCGGAGATATTCCAGAAGAAGAAGATTCTGTTGTAAGCCCGACAGCAGGGTGAGTAGCATTAGCAGCAACCATTCAACACAGTACGGCGCCATTGTTGTTGTGATACTGTGTCGCGCATGCGTGTTTAGAGGCGACGCTATGACGCATGCATGTAAAAAAAAAATGCGGTTAGAGCTTAAAGATGGAAACGCGAAAACGGCGTTTCAAAATCTTCCCACTCTGAAGGCTGAGTAAAAAAAAGATCGTTTACAGACCCCCGAAACGCCGGCTTCGTGTGGATGAGAGGCTGGTTTGGTTAAAAATTTGTGCGTTTAGGCCAGGGTTCGGCTTCGTGTGGACGGGGCCTAATCTGCAGCTTTTTGTCTTATTTAACACTCCTTTCCTGAGAGGTCAAGTGGACAACCCCGTTTTGGACGGCTTAAAGTCTCTTTTTGGAGAATGATTTATCAGTTCTTTTTTATTTGTAAAAAGGTGCTGAAATGCTTTTGCAAAATATAATTACATTTTTAAATTACTTTTAATGGATTTGTCTGTCTTACAGATGTTTTCAGCGCACATGGTGAGAATTTTGACTTCTCAAAACCTGTAAATCTTTATCCTTAAGCTTAAAATAATTTACAACAGCTTCAGCGCATTTAGTCAGAATACAACATTTTTTGAAACTTATATTTAAAAAGCAAACCATTTTTAAACTAAAGTGAAGTATATCATTTTTGATAGTCACTTGGTGGCAATGGATAATAAAAAAAAAAACTGTACCCGTCAGGTTTTGAGTTTTTACTTTTTCACAGTTAAACTAAATCAAACTGATCCAAGCAGAACATAAGCCTTTATCAGCAGGAGATTTATGAGGGGGGAAAAAAGCCGTCATGCCTAAAGGATCAAGCAGCTTCTGGTAGGAACATTTCTAAATGAGGAGAGATGGACAAGAAGACCACAACACCCTGTTGGGTTGATTCCTTAATTAGGACGCTAACTGAAGCTGTCATCTGAGATGAATGATAACGAGGAGTTCTGGCAAACAATCTATTACAGGCATGGCTGTAGTGAACCAAATGAGTTTAGCTGCTTTCTGGAAGGTTAAATCCCAGCCGGTTAGAGGTAGATGGAGAGTGGTGGGATGGAAGAGGAATTCTATCAAAGACCGGCTGATTTTTCTTTTTGATTTCAGAAACATTATGCTGTTGAGAGTTATTTGCTGGTATACACATGAGCAGGCCCTCACACCCTGCAGTGGGCAGGCTGATGGCGGCCATGATTACCTGACTCAGGATGGGGGCGGAGGTGCGGCTGCAGGAGTTGCTGGAGATCGTATCACTCACACACGCTGTCCTGTTAGAGCTTGCACTCTACGGCACAGGACCCAACACCAAAAAAATGAGAAATTCCCACACGTCTTTCAGGTAGCAGCAAACCTCCTCTAGGCGATGTTGGAGTTTAACACAAATGCAGAACTTTCCAGAACTTCTGAAGGTCCTGATTGCATCTCCTTGCAGGTGTGCTGCTGGCTCCAGCTGTTTGTCCTTAACTTTTTTTCCCCACTCACTGAATTTCCAAGCAACGCCCTAAGCGGCAGTCTGATATGAGGGGTGTATTTTAGCTAGGACATGACACACCTGACTGCTTTTCTTCCCATCTGACTGAGCTTAAACAAAAACATCAAACATGAATGTTTTGGCGGTCGCTTCAGTCCAAGTATTCATACCAAAAATCTAGGGAATAGCAATCCACTGATTAAAAAAAAGATGTGTCCATTCGTAGCCCAGTTATAAGAACAAGGTTGAGGTTTGTTCCTAACAACATCTCAGATCTTGTCCTTGAGAAACTCAAAAAAACTTCTCTACTGACAGCTAAGCTCTTTTTTCAAGAGCAAAATGATCCAATTTTTATACCCCATTTATCCCTCAGGGGATCTCAAAGTAAAGCTCATCGATTGGACCTTAATCACACTTTCCGCAACCATCAACTAGTCTCACTAGTGTCATATTCAGAATTCCATTTTCTGAAAGTACTTTAATATGAAATTATTACATACTGTCAATAAATGATAAGTGTTTTTAAATAAGAGTAATTTTCGTTTGACTGTGTTTTACTGGAAATATCCATGTTTGTGAAAAAACCTACTGGTTTGTGATGTCACGATGTGGTATCGGCTGTTGTGCAAGTCCCAGTGCTGTATCTGGTGTTTGTAAAAATGCCCTATTTTCCACTTTATCTTCAAAACATTCTTCTTCGAAATGTTGGCTACATATTGCATGTTTTTTCTTTGGCCAGAAGTTCGATGGCAAATCCTCCCTCTTCAAGTTGGCAACCCGTCCGTGGTGGATCATGAATCGAAAGGGTAATATAACAAAGCTTTTTTTCACTTTTACCTGATGTACAGTATTACAACATCCAACTCCCATGCACGTGGGCATTGTCAGTTTCACTATAGCTCTGGTGAATTTCAATGTTGAAGTCCTCTGGAAATCTTCAATAATTGTTGCCGATTGCAGATGTGTCTAGTAGTTCCCATTGATTTTGCTTGTAAAGCGGGGAGAATCGCGCTAGGCTTACCGCACCGTGATGTCACTGCCAGAGGATGTCAGGAGTGAGGTGTTACTATATTCGGGCAAAAATAGCCGCTCCTGGACTCAGTCATCACGACAAAAATTATCGTTTTTATTTTTCTTACTGATAAATTTGTTAAATCACAGCGAACGTATTAGTTTTAGGTATATTTAATGATCCCTTGATTATTCCTTGCTGACCGGAATTTTCCTTTAATAGAAAAAGTGAATTAGCTGCAATAGGCATGGTTCAAAAAATTTTTTTATGAGATGTTAGTCTGTTTTTTTTTTTTATTCCTAATCCAGTCTTGGTGTTCAGTATCACTTTCAGTATTCTACCCACTATCAAAATGTGGCAAAACAGCCCCCACAGCATGATGCAGCCACCACAATGTTTGAGAATGTGACACATTGTTTCTAATTTAGAAATCACAGGCTGAATAAACAAAACATATTTTTAATGACGTTTTTTTAATTTGTCTGATTTTAAGCACGATTTTCTCCTGAGCTCCATTGTTATTGAACCTAAGTATAAGTGCAGGTCTAACGTTCTTAGGTTCTGTGCTTCCAATAGTCTCATTAACCTTCTGCATCTTTAGCATGGCCATAACTATTCATCCAACAGGATCAATAATATTCCATTAGCATGCAAAGTAAGATGACAGAGCAACTTCTAAACATTTCGTTGCCATATTAATAATGTTCTGCAAAATGAATAAAATACTTACAGTATATTCTGAAGGCTTTCTTTTTAGGGATAAACTTTAAAGCGCCATATCTACTCAGCAGGCAGGTCAAAGTTAACTAGTTTAGGGGACTTGTGAAAATTCTGCATCTTTTCTGCCTCCAAAAAATATTCCTAATAATTTCAGACTCATGCTTTGTCACATTCTGTGGTCAGTTTCCAGTCACCAACTAAACTGAATTGCATGTTTAAAAAAGGAAACAAAAAAAATCAGGAAACCTTGTTTCTCAGTGATAAGCACTTGTCTTGCTTTAAATCAACAGTATCTTCAGGCTAAATCCTGCTTTTTACTGACAGACCAACAAGAAGCTCGCAACTCTCTTAATAAGCTCTTTGCATTAGATTTGATGTCCTTAAAACCCAAGCTATATTTTTGTGATGGCAAACAATAAATATTTAACTTCACCAACATTAAAACATTGTGATACTTAAATGAAGCAGTTATATTTATTGATTAGGGGTGGAACGGTTCACAAAATCTACGGTTTGGTTCGGTTCACGGTTTCGTGGTCACGGTTTTCGGTTCGGTTCGGTATATGTTGACTGTTAGCATGACATGTTGGTCATGTTGCTGTTAGCATAAACAAAATGTGTTGCACAATGCTTGCACACTGTTGCACTTTTATCCACAACTTTCTTTCCGCCGTCATCGTAGGTCACTCTAAATGCAAAGTGGTCCCATACAGCAGACCTATAAAGTGCTGCTGGTGCGTCTTCCAACTCCTGTTCTTTCCCACTCGCCATACCCACACAATTCTCCACAACAACTGATTTTTTTCTGCTACACCCGGCTATGCTGCTTCGCTTTTTTTTCTTGTTTACTACTTGTGGTTGGCTTTGGTCGCAGTACCGCCACCTTCTGCTCTGGAGTGTAAACGCTTCGCCTATGAGAAAAAGGAGCAGCGCATGAACCGAACGAAACACATGCGAACCGAACAGAGACAGTCGAACTGAACGGTTCGGACGGTTTTCATAAACCATTCCATACCTATTATTGATATGTTTTAGCATAAAGACGTTCTGACCTTTTTATAGTACCCTCTGTATTAAAGAACAGCTTATAGCTCGAAACATAACCATTTTTATGGCATGGATGTGTGGTGGGGACCGCTGGAAGAAAGGGGTCGCGGTTAGAATTTCGGGACTCCCCACTGGCAACTTTGGGGCCCTGGCCTCAGTTGGAGTTTTCCTATGTATGATAGGTAAAATGTCTCTATCGCAACCATCGGGTACAAATTTGCATGATGATATTAGCCGTCTGCATCTATTTCACTGAAAGTTTTATTTTACCCCAAAAACTTTGAATGCATCATTAACCCCTCCTCCAAACAGGATTATTTTCCAGGCGGCAACCACACACACTACAGCAACTGGCAAAAGAAACATGGCGACAGCAGGTGTTTCGGCTAGGCAATGTATGTCAGTGGTTTGGATTTTACGCAGAGTACGTTAAACAATAGGCAATTATTTGTAAGAAATGCAGCAAAAACCATTGCTGCAAAATGTGACAGTGCAAATTTATTCCACCACTGAAAAAGTAAACCGCTGCATAATGAAAACTATAACCCCATGTCAGCGTCTCTCCCCCGACACCAATTAAAACCTTCAATAAATCAGCTGTGAAGCAGGTGAAATTGGCCTCGTAATTTGAAAAAGCAAACCCAGATGAGAGAAAAAGTAAGAGATAGAGGGAAATAACAGACGGTATTTCTTCCCTTATTTAAATGTTTTTCAGATGCTCTAACACCTGTCATGTGATTTGGTCTTGTTCAGAGGTTTTGTAGGCATTTTCTAAACTTATCAATGTTCTGAATTTTAGAACTTTTTGTGCTTCTTTAAAATTCCCAGCATGTAAAAGTCAATGCAAATAGATTTAAGATGCTCTGATAATTCTCTGATAATGCTCCATGTGGAGAGGAGCCAGGTGAGGTGGCCCGGGCATCTGGTTGGGATGCCTCCTTTAAGTCTCCCTGGTGAGGTGTTCCGGGCACACCCCACCAGGATGGATGGATGGATGGATGGATGAATGGATGGATGGATGGATGGATGGATGGATGGATGGATGGATGGATGGATGGATGGATGGATGGATGGATGGATGGATGGATGGATGGATGGATGGATGGATGGATGGATGGACGATAATGCTCTAATTTTTGGACAGCATTTCCACTTTTGTTTTTGTAATTTGAGGTCAATTTCTTTTTTCATTCTGCATTTTTTTTATTATGCACAAAAGAGCCCTTGTTTATTTTACATTTTATTAAACATTGTGTGTTTTTCTTTCATAAGCATGTTAATGGAAACATTGACTTTCTCCCTGTGTCTCCAGAGAAGAAAGGAGAGAGAGACTCTGGGAAAACTGCAGCAGTTACTCAAAGGCTCATAAAAAAATACTTTGTGAATTGGAAAATATATCTGCTTTTTTGACTGTTAGTTGTATACCCTGCTCCTGGGTTATATGTGTTATTTATTTCTCTCATTCTTGTGATTCAGACAAGCAATGCAGTGCAAAATACACTGCTCTATATATAGTATGTGTGATCTAGCCCTCATTTGCTTGTATTTGCTCTTGTTCAAACACTAAAAATAAAGTAAAAAAAAAAAGTATAGTGTGTTTTTGTTTTGTTTCCTGTTTGGTTGCTGGGATCTTGTTAAAGGTCTAATACTGATACCCAAAGACATAATCTGAACTGGTTAAAATAAAATGTTTTAGATATGAAACCAAATGTTTGAATGAGTATATCAGTGCAATTTTATGCACTCTATGGTTTTTGAAGGTACATTAAACATTTCATGATATGTCTCATGTTTCACGATAGCGATATTAGATTTTCTTCATATTGCCCAGCTCTAGTTCTAGTAGTGTTGGACTCCATTATGTGGTGGTAAGGGGTCTCTCCAGCAAGATGGAGAAGGCCCAGGGGGACCCAGGTCTCCAGAATCCTTAATGAAAAGTCAGAACCTTTCCGAAGCAAACGGCTCCAAAACAGACCTTTTGCAACACATATTTCTTGAGTTTCAGAACTTATAGAGCCAGACTGGAGAGAAGCCTGCCTTGATGAACCACTGAGACAAAGAGGGGCCCTGCTGTGAGACTGAGACAACGAAACCCCTGGTTGTTGCTGCCTTAATGGCTGAGGTGCAGCTGGATAAAACTCAAGCCTTTGAAATGGAAATGGACAAAAAGGTTTGAAGGTCTGGTATGATTAGGGACAGAACAAACAATATGTCTTTTGAGGATAAATAGAGACAAGCTAACAGAATATACTGCATGCTACGCTATGCTACAGGAATATGTGTTAAATAATGTTTTATTCACCTAATTGATTTGCATTGTAAATTGGTCTGAAAACATTCCAATTTCTTTAACATTTTTGTAAAGCTAATTTGATCACATCCCAAATTCTTCCAGATAAACTTTGGATTTCAAACACAAGATCTCTTAAACTGTAATATGCTTTACTATTAAGCCTCGTTCCCATTGAAAATACCGAGTTAATGCGTTGAAGGATGGAAAAGGAATTTTTTTTGTTTCTTTGTTTTTTTTTTTAAAACATGGGTCTACCCGCTCACAATCTGAATATAGCTCTGCTCCCATTGACAAAAAAAGCTGGGTCTAGCTCCTAGCTCACAAGCTGCGTGTCCTCTGTCCTGCCGCTAACCCTGCTACTGCTACTGCTACTAGTATGACAGAAATCTGGAAAGTAAACAATGGAGAGCAACATGTAAGGAAACCAGGGTGTAGTAAGTGGGCTTTATTGTTTCACTCTATTATCTGTCCAAATCCCTCTTATCAATGCTGCGGCATGTTTATTAAATGTAAACAGAGTTTTTTAGGCTTGTTAGATCAGAAGCGACTGACACAGTGTGTTGAAGTTCATACGTTGCACTCAATGGTATCACGTAAATTAACATGTCAATCCGGCTCTGGTGTTCCCACAGCATGCTGATCAGCGCTAAATAGATTTTAACACTGGTCGCTTGCCGAGTTGTTTGTCCCGGGTAGACATGGGTCAGTGAGCTGTTCCCACTAAAAGCGGATAGTTCCAAGGTTTAAACAGGTTTTTCAGCCAGTGGGAAAGGGGTATTAGTTGACCTTAGAAGGCAGCTCTGGGTTTAATCAGTGTGCAGGGATGAGTGCATTAGAGTTAGAGACTCACCTTTAAAGGGACAGAGTTTTCTTCATCTGAATCTTTGAACTGCATGCAGACAGCAATGTTTCTAGCCTGAAAAAGAGGGAATGAAAGTCAGTGACCAAACAAATGGTCAGTGACCCACTGAGCCCAATGTGTCACATCTGCTTCACTGTCAGCAGAGGGTGCAGCCCACACCATCAGAACACCCACAGCGCTCTGCTTAGAATTACCTTAGTGAAGCTCTTCTGGTTGTCATATTTGAGTTGGAGGGGGTAGATGTAGAGCTGGTTCTTGTAGACGGTGAAAGGGTATTTGTACTTGGCCTCAACTGGGAGGAACTCCTCGATCTCAACAGAAACACGTTCACAGCCGTCCTCGAAGGGTTTGATGGGGATGTAGGAAGATGTCACGGTATCTGAGGCACAGAGAGCACTGACTGATACGCTCTGTCTGGTTGTATCATGGACTCGGCTCAAACGCACAAAACCTCAACATTGTACATGCTTAATAGACACTAAGAATGATGCAAGGTGATTTTAAAGTACAAAGGATTCTTATTTCCTTTTCTACTGTCCATCAGCAAAAACTTAATCCACTTGCCTCCCAAATATTCTCAGTAACACTCATCTGACAAGTTACTTGCTACAGCGATTTTTGCAGTATTCTCTTAATTTGATAAAATGCTCCAGATAAAATGACTGTAAGATGAATGAGTTGATAAGACAATGCAAATCGTAGTGGGCAAAACATTGAGCTTATAGATAAAAAGCTGACAAATGCAGAAAACCCAAATTAAATCAACTAAAACAGCTAAATACCAACAAACATAACACATTTCAGATTTTCATAACTATTTTTTTTACTAGATATTGTTTTATTTTCACTTTGAATTATTTGCTACTTTGTGTTGATCTATCAAATAAAACCAGAATAAAATATATGAAGTTCAAAGGGTTTGAATCTATTTACAAAGCACAGCATTCTTACTTTATCCATAATTAATTGTAGGTTGGGAAAACATGACCATGAACATACTTGAGAAATCGGGTGGCACACATTCAATGGTCACATTCAGCTGTCCTGGAATGATCTGAAGTTTGCTCTTCTCAGGTCTGAAAGTGAATAAAAGGAATTTTTAACGCTGGATAACATAACAGAAAGGGAACAGATTGGATTTTCCACAGTGATATTTTTCACTGACTCCTAGTGCAGTGCATGACAGCTCTTTGTAGTGTTAACCAAGAAGTAATGATGATGATGAGTCACCTTCTGATGTCGGCCAGCAGTTTGAGGAGGTCATCTGTGGAGATTCTGCTGCTGTCCTGGCGATAGAGCGGAGAAAACTTCCCATCCATGTCCAGGCTGCCCTGAGCATCTTTAAACACCTGCCTGGATCAAATCGCTCAGCATTAAGGTCCAACAAACTGCACAAACCACATCAGTCCTTCACACATTAGCAGTCTTACTTGGCAGCCCAGGCGAAAGGCATCCTGTACTGGCCCAGGCGATGGCAGGTCTGTTTAGCACCTTTGAGGACCTTCTGGGCCGTCTGTGGAAACATGGGAGGGGACACACAGTTAACCACAGAGCCGCACGTTGGCATGTAAATATGTTGAATATAAACAACATCTGAACCTTGTTGATGTCAGAGGTTTTGATGTAAGGCTCAGCGCAGTGGGTGATCCCATTCTGCAGCACCTTTTCCACACGAGCCACCAGGAAGATATCAGAATGAGGGTTGGTGACTGAAAAAATGCCCTGGAGGGTGAACAATGGAGAAACAAACAATAAAAGATAAGTCCAGTACTTTCAAAACTGACCCAAACTCCCTTTGTCACACAGCTATTTTCAGTCTAAGAAACAATACAGCACAACTGCAATCCAACCAAGACACCTGCAGTCATGCATCTAAAGTGACATAGCAAGTAAGGACACCCCTCATCAATAAAGCATCCTTATAGTCTATAGGACAACTATTAGTAGCTGATGCATCATCCCACTGAGTATAAAGACTGCATTTCACTTTATGTTACCATGGTGAAATGTAAAATTCAGACCCATTGTGCATCATAATGTTATGTGATATCGTTGCACTCATTTTGTTTGCAGGGTAAGACATGAGATTGAATAGATTCATTCAAAAAGTGACACAGAAAAAACATGTTTAATGACAGGATCTGGATGAACAACGTGGGCAGAGGAATAGAACATTTTCTTTCCACTTAAAGCTACAGTGTGTAATTTTCAGCGACATCTAACGTCCAGACTGCAGACTGCAGCAACATGAACATCTCCCCCCACCGCTTCTCCCCCCCAACAGTACGGCGAGCGTTATGGGACAAAATGTCTTCCACGACGTCCGCATCACCTACCTTCTCAAGTGATGAGGTTTGTTTACATAGATAATTTTACAGATAGTATTTCATTAGTCTTTGTAGGGTATAGATTTCAGTTCATCTCTCTCAACTTGCCGTAGTTACTTTCGAGCGTAATGGGCGATCTCGCAATCGCTAGTTTGTTGCCTCTGCGCTGCCGTAGCGCAAAGATGTCTGCCTCCATGGCTGCGAGACCCGCTCCTATGTAATTATAAATAACGAATTCTAAGGCAACGCAAATGTTAAGGTTAAGAGGCTGAGCTCGTAGATGATGATAAATAACATAGTTATGTATAATATATTACATTTCTGACTGTATATCCCTGTAATTATTACACACTGTAGCTTTAAAATTAAAGTGTAATAAGAAACATTTAAGGCATGTGGTAACGTGTCAAAAAATAATAGAAATTTAATCTGGCATGAATGTTTTAGATGGCATTATATTCCATTTTCATCTTAAGCTTTCCCATCAAAAAAAAAGAATACCTCATATTTTTGATGGGTACCTTACATCCCTTATAAGGGCGCTCAAGGGGTCATGAAACCAGAAAGGACCTCACAGAAACAAGCGCAGAGGAAGCAGCTTTAACAAAAGTGAGGCTGTGCAGGAAAACCACAAGGGCTAACGTCTATATTTGGTCTGGTGTGATGATGATCTGCTGTTATTGCTCAAAGTTTCATTTCAGACAAACAACCTAAGGAGGAAGGAAACAAAGCCTTTAGAAGAGAGAGCGCCCCCTTCTCTGATCAACGCTCCATCTGTTGCTTTCAGCTGATTCACCAACAGCTTCTGTAGCATGGTGGGGAAAAAAGCTGCAAGTGCAGCATTTTAGTTTCCAGAGCCCCAAGACGGTTTTTTTTTTTTTTTTTTTTTTTTTTTTTGCCAACATCATGGTAGAATGCAAGCTGAAACTCATCATCACATGCACACAGGCAGATGATTCACAGCTCAAATTGTGTAATGAGCAGGCACAGAGACTTTATCTGAAGGCCGTGTCCTTGGACCTCACCCAATCCAACTAAATGAAAATGAAACAGAGCTGAGCTATAATCATCAAGGAGGAACCTGTTTTCCTTTCAGACTGAACAGAACAATGAGTAGCTTCTAGGAACTGCTGCTTTGCTGTACGAAGCCCTTCTCTTTTTGTGTTTTTAAAAATAAGCGTTTAATGATCTTGAACTTAGGGGAATTAAATCTAATTAAATCTTACGGTAACGAATTTTGAAAGAGTTGAAGATGTTGATCGTTGTAGGCAGGAAGGAGTTGGGGTAGTGGTCTGTTCTACTCTGGAAGAGCCTTTAAAATAGTATGCTCACTGTTATCCATCATTTTCTTAATTTTATGGGGAATAATTTTTTTGTGAAATTATCTCTACAGGCTCTGGAGGAGTTCTAGAAGCACTAAAATATGACCACCCATATCAATCATACTGCTGGAGGTTCAATCACTCTCCAAATCTCAATCTTACTTCAAGCTATTGCAGGTTAGCAGGTGTTAAATCTTGGAGTGGTCTTTATACTTTTTATTCTCATAAGTTTGTGTTTTCATGCTCCCATATATCAAATCTGAGCATTATAAGAAATAGTACCTTTTTTTATGAACAGAGTCGACAGAGGAAACTGCAACAGAGTTAGAGAGTTGGGCCTCTTAAGCACTAAATAAACATTCATACCTGCGTTGGGAAGCGGAGCAGAGCTTCTGATACCCTTTGCACAACAGGAAGGCCGTTCCCTCTCCCATAGTCTCCATTCACCATCACCCCTCCTCCCCCATCACCAGATCTTCCATCTGCACCCTCAGAGTCAGACGACGGAGTCAGCTGACCGGAAGGATCGATCAGCATCTCCCGGACACACGGCGGGTTCAGGTCCACGTGGAAGTCGGCCGAGATCTTACAGTTTTTGGACAGGTCGAAGAGGGAAAGGCAGATGAAGAACGGCTCCACCTACAGTGAGGTTGACCCCAGAAATCAGAAAAGATGGGTTAGGTTTCAGTGAAGCCCAAAAATGAGGTTAATTTAGTAGATAGCAGATAAACCCATCGGGTTTACATTCACCATCATCTGCTGTAAATCTGCTTTCCTCAAAATGTGAAAGCTAAACTTTAATATACAGTTATTTAAACTGAGAATCAGATATTTCATCTCCATAGTATAAGGTTCTGCTTTTTCCCCCTTTTTTTTCTCCTTAACTGGATGTAGGCAAAGTCCAGCTGACCATTAATGCAGCAAAGTGAGGCAATAGCCGATCAACCATAACAGATTTTTTTTTTTTTTTTTTTTTTTACGTTCCTTCTTGGTAGCCTGAGATCAAATTAATACCAAAGGCTTGTAAAAGTTTAGTGAAAAACTTTATTTTTTTTTTGAATGGGGTAAATAAATAAAAGGGCATCAATCCTTTAAATGCAGCACCAACAACACACTTTGTGGTCTTTTTGTTTGAGAAAACTATTAAAACTAAAAGCTTGACCGTCTCACAGCTACTGAGATTTCTTTGTTTTGAATTAGATTGTTTTTATTAGTATTATCCCTATCAGATTAATTAAGTTTAAGCATAAATTCAATCTGGAAGACTCTGATCAGCTTCACCTGAACAACCTACCATGTCCCTTCTTCAGCTCCAGCCAATTAACATGGGGCCACACCTTTCTCTGAAGCAAATCATCTTTCAAAAATCCCCTCCATTTAGCTCCTGGCCTCGTTCTCTCCTGCATGCAAGCAAACTTTCACCCACCTCCACCCCATCCCCTCCCTCAGTCTCAGACTATTCTTAGCCCCACCCCCACCCCCCCTCTGGCTTATTCCATCACCAGCGTCCGGACCCCAGGGGAAAACTAATCCTTTTCTGCAGTACCAGCCATTGAAAATGGCCCTTCCCAGCCAAATGGCAGCCAAATGGCAGCCAAATTGCATCCAACTTTCCTCCACCTCCAAGTGAAATCCCCTCCAACTTTCAGCCGCTGGAGTGACCCCCCCTCATGCATATTTTTTCACTCTAACTCCACCCTTTCACTGAATTACAGGGTCTGACCAGGGGTTGATGCTTCTCTTTAAATCTTAATGTCCACAAATGATGACATAAAGAATATTTTAGTACAAAGATTGATGTTTAAAAATGAATCAAAGGGGACCAGCCAAGGGCCCATCAAGGAAAGTGGCGAAATTTTGAATGACCAAAATTGTTTGCTTAGATGTTACTCATCTAAGCAAATGTTGATTTGCATCAAAGTCCTCTGCCAGGGTCAGAGCGTCAAATAACTTATTTTTCATTTACCGGTATGTCTTTACCTGCTTCCATTTTCTTAAACCCCAGTCAGCCTCGGCAGAAGGCCGCTCACACTGACTAAGCTATAATACTAAATTACAGGCATGTCTTGAAGACATAAAAACATGGATGACTCTTAACTTTCTGCTCCTGAATGCAGACAAAACAGAAGATATAGTCTTTGAAAAAGAGGTTGATTAGTCAGGCCCTTCATTTGGATGGAATTAAACTGATTTCAGATAATAAAGTAAAAAATCTTGGTGTTATTTTTGATCAGGGCCTGTCCCATCACCCCATATCAAAGAGGTTTCTAGAATTTCCTTCTTTCATCTGCAGAATCTGTTAGAATCTGTTCTTTTAGGCTCCTCTCCTCTTGTTAGTAGATGTTCAAGATGGGCCTGTTTTTTAGTGTTGTCCTGTTTCTCTGACTGTGAAGATTTGCTGGATGTGCTCTTTTCGTCCTTTGACATGGGAGTCGGCTCGGAGCTCGTCTGCCTGGCTGTGTGTTTCCTGGACAGGGCTGCCTTTTACAGTTGCTTTTTGTATCTCCACTTCTGTTTCCTTGAACCCCAGTCAGCCTTGGCAGAATGCCGCTCACACTGATCCTGGTTCTGCTGGAGGTTTCTTCCTGTTAAAAGGGAGTTTTCCTCTCCACTGTCACTATAAGCATGCTTAGTGCAAGGGATTGCAGAGAGTCAATGAGTCCTCACAACCAGCTGCTTTTCTTTAGACAGAAACATTTTGAAAAAATATGATTGTTTTAACGGTATTAAGAAATTGAATAATACTTTTCAAATTGTAGCTTTTCTCAGTGCGAGTCTGTCCAGGTTGAAATGCCTACATGTTCAGGAAAACTGGGAAGAAAATCAATAGGAAGACTTTGCTTTTTCCACGAAACTGACTCCCGGTCTGAAATGTGTCTCAGCTTGCTGCCACTTTGTTATTCTCACAGCTGGGTCTTTATAGGCCTAGAGAAGATTTTTAGTTAAAATGTAGAAGCTGGGTAATTGAAACTTACAACTTGTTTATCGATTACTGTTATTCCAACTTCAGACAAAACCAATTAGACTTTTGGCTTCCTAAGAAAATTATATTTTAATTATTGCTTAAATTAAAAGAGAAAAAAAAATAGCAGGATTTGCTTATGAAATTTCCACTTTCATGATTGAAAAAAACAAGTCTCTGAATATAATTTGTTTTCTTTGCAGGGTGACTGGTCACCTTCTTAAAAATAGCTGCTAAGCACTGAGCTGATAAAAAAAATATCACTCCTTGAACAGCAAATTAGAAAATAACAAAGAAGAGTTTGCTGTGAGCTGGATCTGTGGCTGAGAGAAGGCTTGTCATACCACCACAACTGCTTTGTTTGTAAAGTCTAATGTTTATTTAATTCAGACTGGGTTTAAGAAATAGCTTTATTCCTGTATACAGTTATAAGAAGAACCCAGGTCTTTTAATGGCTTGCAAGACATTCAGGCATCATCTTTATTTGTTTGGACAAAACAACAATAGTTTTAATTAAAAAGAGAGATCATATCTCTCCTATCCTGGCTTCTCTTCATTGGCTTCCTGTTCAATCCAGAATAGAATTTAAAATCCTCCTTCTCACATATAAAGCTTTAAATGGCCAAGCTCCATCTGCTATCAGAGATCTGATTGTTCCTTATGTCCCTAACAGAGCACTGTATTCACAATCTGAAGGTTTACTAGTGGTTCCTAGAATTTCTAAAAGTAGAATGGGAGGCAGATCTTTTAGATACCAGGATCCTCTCCTGACGAACCAGATACACGTTTTAGTCCGTGAGGCAGACACCCTGTAAGGGTACCCTCAAAACATTCCTTTTTTAAAAAGCTTATAGTTAGAGTGCCTCAGGTTATCCTGAGCTATCTCTATAGTTATGCTGCTATAGGCTTAGACTGCTGGAGGACATGGGGATCCCTTTTTCATCGTTGTGCTTCATTCTATCTCCATTCTACCACTGCAGAATCAGTTAGTTTAATCTCTACCATTGTGCTCTCTGCTTTTTCGCATCGCAGATTCATCTGGTCTGTTCCTGTTTGGCTGTGACACCATCCTAGAGAGAAATATCAGCTTTGCTGCTGCCATCAACATCTTTGTTTATAGCTGTTCAAGGTCAGTGTAGTCCTGTTTCTCTGACTGTGACTAACTAGATGTGCTCTCTTCATCCTCTGACATGGGAGCTGGCTCGGAGCTCGTCTGCCTGGCTGTGTGTTTCCTGGACGGGGGCCTTTTTTTATCTCTGCTTCTCTTTCTATATCTGCTTCTGTTTCCTTGAACCCCACTCGCCTTCGGCAGATGGCTGCTCACACCGAGTCTGGTTCTGCTGGAGGTTTCTTCTTGTTACAAGGGAGTTTTTCCTCTCCACTGTCACTACAAGCATGCTTAGTATGAGGGATTGCCTTTGAGTCAATGAGTCGATGCAAACAACTGCTTTTCCTTAGATAGAAAACTTTGAATTAATTTGACTGTATGATCTGGGTGAACTGTAAAGTGCCTTGAGATGATGTTTTGGGAATTGGCACTATAGAAATAAACTGAATTGAAATTAAAAAGAAAAAAAATATTCTTCTTAGGGATTGCAATAAGTACACATTCCTTTAGGCATATCAATCTCTAAAATTTACTGCAGTTATATAAATAATGTGTGTTGCTGTGGAAATAGAGAAAGTTACTGTTTATACGTATCAGTTAGCCAGACTTTTTTTTTTAAATAAACATTAGTATTATATAGCCTTGTGTTAGCTAAGAAACTATTTGCGTTTTAGCCGATTTTCCTCCACGCATTCTGGCGAACATTCTTTACAGCTTTGTTTCTGTGAAGATGGGCCTTTAAAGCCATCAGAAACTGAATCGAAACAAGGGGAGGCTGCTGAGTTGGAGTAAGTGCTGTTTTTAAACCACAAATATGAATGGGATCTTTTCTCCTTCTCTAGTGGGGGAGGAGGAGGTCAGTCACTTTCAGGACTGCATCGAGCTATTCCACCAGAGGTGAAAACCGCCACACCATCAATTACTCATTCATTAACATTCCCGGAGTTTTTACATATTCTTAGTTTAAGTGATGTGTTCAGTTTAACCAAAGGAAAGTCAAACCTAAGGCCTAATGTGTGTGGAACTTCCAGCTGTTTTGGGGGATATCTGGGACAACTAAGGCTTTCTTAGCAGACCAACATCAATAATGAAGATGTGTTATCTAGGGCAAGAAGTGCTGAAACAACTTACCACAATCTGTGCTGGAACAAATAAAAGTCCATTTTGTGGTTAAAATGCATCCCTGTATCCCCCCAGAATGTGGGGAATGCTGCCTTTAAATATGTTTTATTTTTTAACAAATTTGGTTAGATTTTAACCCAATATTGGAGACAAATAAGCTTTGGAACAAGTATAAATACTCTGAAGGATGATATTTGAAAAATAAAGTTTACTAACTTCTGAAGATGCAATGAAAATTAACTTGATTGCTATGATTACGTCCGACCGTTTGGTTAAACCTATCAGTGAATACGTCAGAACGAAAGCCACTCAGTGGAATTGGTAATGTGCCAATAATGTCAACTACGCTTTCCCATCTTAATCATATAGAGAGCCATCAAATTACAGCTTAAAATGTTGTAATTAAATGCATTTATTTTGAAATATTATTGAAATGCTTTTAAAAGGTTCTTTAATATGGTCTTTAAGCATCCTTAAATCAACTGTATGTATATATGATAAATCATTGCCTTTGGCACTATGGAGTATCTATCTATAATGAAAAATTTAAGTTTTCTGGTTCTATTTTCCATTTTCAGGAAGAAAAAAATGGGCTGAAAAATATGGCCAAAATTGCTATCACAATATGGTTTCTAATTTTGTTCTATATGGACTCATTCAAATAATGATATAAACAATAAAAAGCCTCAGAAAAACTCAGAAATGCCCACAAAAGAATCCCGAACATCATTATGCCAAGACCATTAAACTCCTCCAATATAACGTTTCAGAAATTGTTTTTAAAAAAAAAAACCTTTTGTCTGGAGCTAAAAGCTCAACAGATGAAATATAAATTTAACCAGATTATCATCTTTCGTTCCTTCTATTCCTCAGTCCATGGCTTTTTGCCTTTTTCAGTTTCTTTGTCATTGCCTACTTTATTTTTTCATGATTGACTGTAATATGTTCAAAAAAACAAACACACAAGCCTTGAAGAATATGTTGAGAAATCAATATAATAAATCACAAAAACAAGCCTTAATTTTTTTTTTTATGTAAATTTTGATAAACCCTGTAGGAAGCAATTTATAACAGATCCCAGCTCCTTTTTATTTTTTATGGATACAAAGAGCATTGACAACAGTAGTAACACATGAACCCAACCTTTCTTTATCCCACAAGGATCAAATCAGCCGTAACAATTGAATGAATTCACACATCCAATAATGTCACTGGGTGGCTCCTTGTCCATAGTGACAAGGGAAAGGCTGCACTCAGCAACTAGATAATGTTTCACAAGCAACATGCTTTCTACACTGTTGGCACATAAACTTTTTGTAATTCATCAAATGCTTAAGTCAAAGGTACAGATCATGCAAAGGTGAAGTTTGGTCGCCTTATCATGGCTGCTCATTTTTTGCTAATTTCTATTTCTTTAATTTCTACATTGAAGCTTAGCAGCTGTAGCCTTGTGAGACCATCCTGATCTCGCGAGCTTTCAAGGTTTCACTCGCAGATCAGTCTGGAGACTCTCTGTTAAAGAAAATTTGGAGCCGTTCACCAAACAAACGTCCAATCATCGTTGAGTTTGAGGCAGGTTGAGGTGTGACGCAACGAGAAGCGCGACAGTTCAGTCTAAAGAACATGGCGACTTCAGCCGATGAAACTAGGGTTAGCGTGGCTATCGAGCAAGTTTTATCGGAATTACAGAGTATTTCTTCACTGAAAGAAGAGCAAAACACTGCTCTGGAGGCTTTTCTCAGAGGAAAAGATATTTTTGCTCTTATCCCGACTGGTTTCGGCAAGAGTAGCCTAACTTGTGGTTGTGTTTTCGTTGTCGCTCTGTTAGTACGTCATATGCTTCGTTGATCTGATTGGTTTATTTGGCCCGTCTATCACCAACACAGGCCAATCAGCTAACCAGTATTTTCACCCCTTCCGAAAATTACTTCAACGGAAGGTTTCCAGATGGATATGCAGAGCAAATCCATCCATCCAGATCATACAGTGAAATTGATTCAAAGTTTGCCATCTGAAGAAAACCAGTTGATTGCATCGACTCATTGACTCAAAGGCAATCCCTCACGCTAAGCCTGCTTGTAGCGACAGTGGAGAGGAAAAACTCCCTTGTAAAAAGAAGAAACCTCCAGCAGTACAAGATGACCCAGAGCCTACAGTCTGTGCTGTGTTCCATCACTCACGTAGCCTGTGTTCTGCATCTCTTTCTGTCTCAAATCACCTGCACTTAGTCAATGAAAAGATCTGCTACATGCAGTGTATATGTCATATCACTGTTACTGAATAAAATTATATCACAGTACATATTAATATTGAATTATTTTCAGGCCCTAAAAGACACTCTCTGTGCGGGTGCCACTCATTTCATGATGTCACCCAAGAGCTACTGCTGCTTTAATTAGGCTCTTCTTTAGGAGGGCTGAATGAAGTCAGAGACCTCTGAGAAGCAAAACACATTTTTGCAACTTGGACATTAGCTACAACAACAACAATCGCTGTTACTGTGCAGATTAGGAGCTACAAGAGACACTTTTTTATGATACAGGCCCTTTAACTGCAGAGCTGTGCTTTTTTGAGTTTTTACAGAGAAAATATTTCTCATATGACTGTTTTTTGGGGGGGCATGTAAAATAAGGCACACCATTTCATTTATCTCTGGACAGATATTATTGGTAACATTTGGCCCTATAGGAGAAAAGAATATTATTATTTAATTAAAGCATTTTATTGAGACGGTTTAACTTTCTAATAATGAGAAAAAAACAAAACTATTTTATTTCTTACAAAATAATTTTAAATAAGTGGAAATTGGGATGATATCGTACATTTGTGCATATTCATCCAATAGAGTAACGTACGTTTGTCAGGACACCATCAGCCTTTTCATTAACGCAGCCCTGGAGGCTGAAGGTGAGGTCGTGGCAGCTGACCATGATGCGGCGGCCAAAACGCTCCTCGAACGGCTTCACATCTGGCTCAATGCCCGAGAAGTCCAGCCTCTAGATATAGGACAGGGAGGGGGAGGGGGTTCAGTTGGCCAAAAGACAGAAGGGTGAGGATTATGGTGGAGAGTGGGGATGGGGGGGGGGGGGGGGGGGGATCAATGGTCAGATGAATAAATGATAAAGGAAAAAAAAAAGACTAAAAGCAGAACCTTTCCTTACCTGTGTTTCAGGGTCCAGGGAGAAAAGCTTTTGTCTTCCTTCATTCCTGTTGATCTTATTGAGCTGGTCTGTCTCCCTCATGTACTGCGAAGAAAAAGCTCAAAGCTCATGTTTTTCCACATTTTCAATCTCTACCTTCTTTTAACGGCTTATTTTCTCTTAAAGCAATTCAAACTGAAGACAAAGACAAGCAGCCGATGGGGAAGAGGAGGACGAGGAGCATCCTATGCAGACAGACAAGTCAAACCCTTAAATCACAGTCTGAGCATCAATCCCTGTCTGTAGCCTGCAGACAGACTTGGACATGAAGATGCACAGGCCCAGAGCCAATGCAGGGCTTTGTTGTCAGTGAGCAGCTGTGGGTTTAAACATATTAAAGCAGAACAGAGCCTGTGGAGGAAACACTGCTGCTCCATCGTCTCTGCCCTGTAACTTGCTCTTACTGCACAAAGAAAACCTACATGTAGAACATTTGGAACAGACCGACAGCTCTGCAGATTTTAAAGCCAAAATCAACGAAAGGTGATGACAGAATGTTATATAAAGTCCCACGTTTAAAAAAAAGTATGTTTCAATGTTTCAATTAAAACAAGAAAGTTGCAGAATGAAAGAGTGACATCTATTTCTAACTTTTCTATTCTGATAGTGCTCTGATTTAGACCAGATGAAACTTGTGTGGTTTTGTTCTTCCCTCTGTATTATGATACCCCTGAATAAAATCTAGTGCAGCCAATTGACCTTAGAAGTCATCTTATTTGCGAAAAATTCATCTGAATGTGTTTTGTTTCAAATATAATTCCAGTTTTCATCTAAAGGCCATAAAGATTCAGTAGAAAACACACACAGCAAACAGTATCATTTAAGACCAAGCAATAAAACAGATGGGTGAGGGAGACGTTTAAAACAGCATTAGGTATTAAAACTACCTTATAAACTTTGAGCATTTATACCAATGAAAAATCTGGGAAGTCTGCAGAGATTCCCATTTTAAGTCGAACAACAGAAAGTCTATAAGTGGTTTACAGGTAGGTCTATGGGTCTGCATGTTTGTGGCACTGCTGCCTTGCTGGGTTAGATTCCCATCATAAGGTCTTTCTGCATGAAGTTTGCATGCTCTCCCTTTGCATGCATGGGTTCTCTCTGGCATCGTCCCTCAGCAAACTAGTTTTTTCATTGAGTCTGTGTGTAAGTGTCAGTGGCGGCTATAAATTCAAAATAGACATATACCAACAACCAATCAAACATATACTAAGTTATCACACCAGTGTATTTACATGAATGCCAACAACAAAAAACAAAATCTGTGTTTCCCATGGTCCAATATTGTCTCACACACCTAAAAACATAATGTATTAGCTTAATAAAGGAGAAGCAATTACTCAGCTTCATGTTTTTTTAATATATAAAAACCATTTATTTTCTGAGAATGTGTTTATTCAAATATCTAGAAAAAGTACACTATATTATATTATTTTCCATGTAAATCCTGGAAAGTTAGCTGAGCCTTGTCGCTAAATCACGTCCTTCGTGCTAAACCAGGTCCTGGAAATGTACGTTTTTTCTGCAATTACTCTCCCTCTCTTCAATGCAGGTCCAACACCAGAGACTGGACCTGTCAATCATATCTACCAGCCTTCTGTGACCCTGAGAGATTAGCAGCAGAAGATGGATGAAAAGGAAACTCGGAGCATTTGCGAGGATTCACGTTTTAGGAAACAGAATCCATGAAAAGAAGAAGACTATGAGTTATAGAGATGTCCCGATCCAGGTTTTTGCACTTCCGATCCGATACCGATATTGTTTTTGCACTTCCGATCCGATACCGATACTGGCCGATACCAGCCTATCGGAGCATGTATTTAAGTTTAAGTTAAAGTATTTAGCCTTAGTTGTAAGACTCATGCTGAAAAGGGTTTTAGTACTCTTGATAACATCTAGCCAGCTGAATTAGGTGAGATTGAATAAAACACAATGATTGGTAACAACAAACTTACCTGTTTATTAAGAGATAAACACAAACAAAATTATGAATAGCAATCTGAAATTGCACAGTGAACAGTAAAACCGTAAACAGTTAAAGGTGCAAGTATTACTGTAAGTTTTAATAAAAATGCAAAACAGACAAGAGTGGAAAATAGTCTATTAACTTAGAATCAGGACTCTACTCTTGAAAAAAGACACTGCTTAAAAAAAAAATCAGTGCAAATAATAGTGAACTATTACACAAAAATGCCTTATACTCCCCAATCTCCTCCACACCTAGTCTCCATCTACACATCGTGCAGGATAATATAATCCCACATGGCTGACATTTTCCCCGCTATCTTCCAATTCACCTGTTTTAATGGTTAGGCCGGGAGACAGACCCAAAAAGACCTGTGGGTGTGTTGAAGGTGTTCTGAAATGGGGACCGGATTCGGGGAAGACTGGTGCAAAATAGTGGAATGGATTGTTTCAATCGGCGAAACTGTAAAATACGGACCGGATTTTTTTAAAAAACTGGATCGGCAGTCTGGATCGGCATTTTTACATGCTGTGCCGATACGCATTTTTTTGCCAATATCGGCGTCCAATCCGATACGTGGATCGGATCGGGACAAGCCTAATGAGTTACTCTCTAAACCTGGAGTCTTTGGAAAAGTGGTCTAACAAAGCCAGAATATTCTTTTTCCACAACCTACAGTACACCTAGAAGGTCCCCACCATTACTAAAATGAAACATCAGGGCAAGTATTAAACTTTTAAAGGTGCAGAGTGACGTTATTTAAATGTTTTTATTTTTATTACGGCAGCTCACTTTGCAGACCAAGTTTTTCTGAAAGATTATGGCATCTTGTTGTCTTATTTGTTGTATTTTGTGTTTTTGCTCAACTTTTTAATAAATAAAGCCTCGGTATACATTTAAAAAAAAGAAAAAAGATGTACAACACTGTGCATGTGTGCAGGGGCTAAGCAAGGAATTAACCCTGGGCGGCTAAGTCAGTTAGCATCTCCAAGCAAAGTATGGAAAGAATGAAGAAAAGTCAAAGATCCAAAACAAAAAATATATTAAAAAATGCATAAGACTAGTGCAGTGCTCAGAATACAGTACAAACTTTTGCATTCACACAAGCTAAAGCTGCATGCGGATATGACTGCTGGTGACAGATGCCTGAGTAAACATCCTGTTAATACTGATACTAGTGAGAGCAATGCCATACCTAGTCTCTACAGGCCTAGAAGACATGATATGAAAGACAGACAGAATGAATCACATGACTCACACCTGTCTATCTCAGTCATCCATTAATTGCTCTTACCTTCATCAGTTCGTTCTGTAGACTCCTCCCCTGGTTCTCCTGTGGGGCCTCACCTTTTCCTTGGCTTACAGTGTCGTCATCTGATCACAAAGGAAACAAATCTTCCATCAAAAAATCTGTTTCCTCAGTTTAAAAAAAAACTGGGATCTGTGTACAGCAGGGCAATGACTTTTTCTGTAGCAAGAACGAATGAACTTTTGCCTATTTATGACTAAAATGATGTTTATTCCATTGAAGTATTGAAAAGGGTCATGCACAAACCACTATTACTGTCAACGGGACTAAATTCGTTAAGCCTAAGGAAGTGTTCACCAACAGTACCAAATGCACTAACCATACCTGAAAAACTTTTAATTTGCTCTTGTGAGCAGCTGTGATATGATTTTTGTTAAAAACCCAAAGAAAGCTGTATAAAATCTGTTCATTCATTTGTTTAGCCAATTTTTCCGCACTGAAGATTTTGATGAAATATATCTGGAGTTTTGAATGAATACCCAAAAGGTTTCAAATGCTATACAACCCACTGGAAAACAGATGAATCTCCAATCAACATTGGCCAAAGCAACCAATGCTGCCAATGTGCGATCAATGTTAAGATTTGCACAAGTCCTGCAGAAACGAGAACAACCTCCCACTTAGATTAATTCTGTCCAATAACATCAGCATTGCCAATTGACTTCCTGGTGTGTTTTCTAACCCTATTTTATGTTATACATCTGAGTCTTAAGCTTGTGGCTAATTTTGACTATGCTTCCACTGACTTTAAAAACTAGCCAAAAAAGCTGATAATTAAAAATGTTTATCATTTTGTGCGTGAATTTTCTTGTTTAATCAAATCACCTTAAAAGTAAGATTGTATGTAATCTTTAATAAAAGTTCCTCAAATTACAATACAGGGGTATGAGGTTGTAAAAAAGTCATCATCCTAGTGTACAGGTACCTGAGGGACTTGGAGCGAATTGACTGAGTGAACCTTCCAGTATCTCCCGGTGCTAATTTTGGATTTATTCCTTAAAACATTGGCAAGACCAAACAAGCCTCATTAAGCTCTTGACGTTTGCTCAAAGATCAGTTTGAACAAGCGAGTCAGCAATTCTTAATTTCCAAAGAGGCGATTAAATGTTTCTTGCAGTGACTTTGAACATCCTTCTAAGTTATAAAATGTTTTCTCAAACCAACAGCTAACCTGTGGCAAAGTCCGTCGGCTCGGCTCCGTTCCTCTTATCGGGGATGGCCTCAGCGCCGCTCTGCAGAGCCTGTCTAAGCGTGGCCACCCAGTCCTCCATCTCTGCCTCGCTGTCCGCAGCCAGGAAGTGGCTGTAGCGGTCCTGCATCTTCAGCTCGAAACCATTGCGGCGCATCTTGGGACTCTGAGGAAGCAAAGAAGTTTCTACTGGAATCTAAAGCTTTTTCTCTTTTTAATTTAAAAACACTTTAGGATTAGGGGGAACCTTCTGCCCTGCCTTTTATTCATTCTCTAAACATAGAATGACAGACTTCTGTTTGGTGGGTTTAACCCTTCAGCAGCAGGTTTATTATCCATTAGTTAGATAGTAAAAAACTATACAAGCCTTACACATCTTAGGTTTTCACTTTTTTAAAACGGCAAAAATAATACAGTTCGAACTTGAATTATCTAACATTCTGTAGGAAATCTCAATAAATAGAAAATGTAGTTTTCAAATAACCCTAACTCAACAAAAGAAGCGAAACTGGGAATCAATGGGATGGTCACCAAACACACATTGATGAGTCCCAACACTGATCTGAGGAGAGATGAGACAAAAGTGAAAATTTCTTGGATGAGTGTGTCGTCTTCAGGGCTGTAAATACCACGGATATCACAAAGGTAATGTCCTCGGTATTTATATTTTGCCTAATTGTGTAAAAATAAATTAAACTGAAACTGACTGTAGGACGATGATCTATATCTGTCACAAAACTGCGAGGTGTTATATATTTAAAGAGGCAAGAGTAACGCAAATATCTGATAATAAAAAAAAGAAGCTCCAGGGTTTGGACATATGTGCTGCGCGCCGCCAACATGTCGCTATGGTAACTGCCACATAGGCTGCAGATGCCGCTAGTGACTCCATCAGTCCCTGAAGGAGGAGCACATCAGTGAGATAAAAAAAAACAGCATTTTCATGAGAAAATATATTTCAGTCCAGTGAGCTACTCAGAGAGAAAAAAGGAACATCGAACCAAAGTTTATTTCAATCTGTCGGTAACGGCCATCAGTCCATTACTAGCAATTGAATCAACTTTTATTATGCAACTGATATTCCAGCAACTTCTTTGACTGAAAATATCCGCAGTTATATTTTTTATATTTATATCTTTTAAAAACGAAGCGTGCGTGTATGACGTCATCCGCGCGCGCCGGCTACCGTTCATTCTTCCTGTCCGCTGAACTGCTGCTAGTTTTCCTCACATGCCTGGAAGATGTCTAGTGCTACGACCACAGATGATCTCGCTCTCTAAATGGAATTGAACGATTCAGATTAGCTAGCTGACTTGGATATAACCTAACGGAATATCTTCAGAACGGCTCCAACTGACAAAACTCATATGGGTAAGTAGAACATGATGTAATAACGCAAAATCAAGGGCCAAATGTAAAAAAAAACGGAATTCCCCTTTAATTGTAAATGGCTGTTTTTGTTCTTTTTTCCTTAGAGGTTTAATTTATTTGATTGTTTTCCAAATAGAAAATGTAGATGCTGTCAAAGTTTACACCCCCTTTTATTAAAGATTGTACAGGCTGATGATTTAGAAACCTTTGTTTTTTTTAAAGTCTGAATTAAAATTTAAGGGATGCATCCTCTGAAGGCCAGATTCGTAGGCAGATTATGTCATAGGGCGCCCCCGAGGCCTGGTCAGATTACATGACTCCTCATTAGGCGGCCTACAAATGCTTCCTTCTTTTTGCCCGATTTGAAGGACGGGCCCGGTGTATCCTATGTAACCTTGGATTTCCCAGAATTCATTGCGAGACCAAGCAAGCCGGCTGCTCCGTCATCAGAGGAAAAAGGTACGTGGCGTCAAACAGTGGGGAATACTGGAAGTGCAGTTTAATATAATACAAGCATATGAATAGTTCCGTTTGAAATTAATGAAAATTATTGAGTCATATATGTGGCAGTAATGTTTGATTTATTGAAAGGTTTTTATCTGTTACTGTGTAAATGGGTTTGGCTTTAATTTAAGGACAGATTCTAATATATCTGCAGAGTGAGGACTATAAACCTGATATGATTTTTATTTTTTAATTGCTATTTCGCACAATTTGCTAAACTAAGTATATAAGCATGTTAAATATAAGAGATTTTGCAGATATATTTTTAAGCATACATTGTTTAGATATAATTTCTACTCCTTTAATAGAATAGAAAATCCCTTTATTGTCCCACAATAGGGAAATTCTGGTTTTCACAGCATTAAAAAGATTATAGAAAAAAATTGTATAAAAATATGGATCTTAGAAAAATGCATAGGAATAACATAATAGTAAAGAGTGAAAAGATAAACAATAAAACATACTGTACTCTAAAGTCTTTTAACAATATAAACTGCACCTGGACAATAAATAACCAATATGCAGCTGTCGACGTTTTTACAGTAATCGATATTTGAAAATAGCAGCAACATCAGAAATATGCAAAATGACAGCAGCATGTTATTTACCTGACTAAGGTTTATATCATTACGTTTGCTGCCACCAGACTCTATAATAATGCACTATAACCACAATAACTCCTGTAACAACCACTGTGCAACTATATTAGAGTTTTTAATTTATTGACAGTGCAATATTCTGTGTAATATGCTGACTGTGCAATATATGTCAATATAATGGTCATACCACTACCTCACCGTTGTTCCTTACCTACTACACTTTAATGTAAAAGTCAATCCACCTCTATATAAGCCATCCTGATGGTACATATGTAACCTAAAATCTCTGCGTTACTCCCTTGTATTTTTGTTTTCTGTGAGATCAATAAAGCTCATCTAATCTAATCTGTTTTTTGTTCATGCTCTCGGGGGTTAGCACCTTTATTCTACTCTGTATTCTCATGAGGGTGTTCTTTGTTCACTTTACAATAAAAAACAGAAAAAAAAATTAAAACAAAAGTTTTGAAAAGTTATTTTCCTGCTTTATGTTTCAACTCTCATGGTTGCTTAGCGACAGAGCATGCGGGGGTAAAAGGCCTGTTTGAATTCACAGCCAAAACTTCCGGTCTCCTTATTTTCACTGACTTTCAAGTATCCAGTCCAGGTAGACCACGTCCTTGGAAGACACAACCATCAATTCAAATTCAGCCTAATTTTTTTTTCTTCAGTGCTTCTGCTGCGATTAAAGAAAAGGGGAACACATTTTCCTCTGATTTAAAGGGAATTTATTTCGCCATCCATGTCAGATGGTGACAGTGTGGGTTACGTAATAGAAAAAAAATCCTGGTATTACATGAAGCACAGCTTCCTAAATAAATCAGATGAAGCCCAGTGGGTGATTATTCATCTAAAAACTGAAAGCTTTCAGGCAGCCAGCCCAGATCCAAAAGAGCTACCAACAAGTTTCCTTAGTCAACACCACCCCCAAACCCGCCACCTCCTTTTAATCTGCTGGAGCAATCCTCCTCTGCTCAGCCAGAGGAATGCAGTAAATCTGTCCCCAATAAAAACAGCTGAAAGCCTCTAGAGCATGGCGCGAGGGGGAAAGACACAGACTTTCAGAAGGCTGGGAACCGCTGCACCGACCGTGCACCAAGAGAGAGGTAAATAAACACAACGAGTTTACATAAACTCTGCACAGTCCTCCTGCTGCAGCTGTTCCATTCAACTTTACCTGAACAACATCTATGCAGGAGTCCAGGTAGATGGAGCCTTTGGTTTCCTTGCAGTTCTTTTCATCCTTGTAGGAGTTGAGGATGTAGGATCCGTCAGGTAGCTGGGATAGGTAGAAGTACCTCCGTTTAAAAACCTGGAAGGTACAGCAGAGGACAACAGGTCAGGCAAAGTCATCTTTATCAACCTACTTATGACAATACATGAAGGATTAAATGTGTGTTTCCGCTTCCACAATGACTAATTGAAAAGTTATCTAATCGCCTTTTTTAAATGTATGCGTATTAATAATCATCATGGTTTATTTTAACTAATACAACTCTGAAAAGTTTTGCATGTATTGGTAATAACCTGCCTTTACTGACACCTCTTGGAAGCCTCTTACCCTTAGAAGTCAATCGCGATAGCGGCAGCATCATGTGATGGTAGTTTTGGACTATTGACTATTGTTGTTACTCTGTCTGAGTAAAATCATCTAATCAGTGTTTTTCTAATATTCCAAACTACAAATAAGTAATAAAAGTATATATAATTTGTGTTGCTGTTGTTTCAATTAATCACCGGTATTAATAAAGCTGCACTATTGGTATCCTATCTGAATGAAAGTGTTGGGTCTACTATCTAAGGCTATTGAGGGTAGAGGCTACCGCCTATACAGCAGGGGTGTAAATAATAATCGTTTTGTATCGATGCATCGATCCAACAGCTGACGATCCGATGCATCGATACGTCCGCAAGAGAATCGATTCATGTTTTTTTTTTCCCTCCGGTCTATTTTTATCCATTTGCTCCTGGACGTAATTCTCCCTCCCGTGCTGCGGTGGCGGTAAACCTATTTTGCCCTCCTACCTCGCTTCCTGGTTATACTCTTACAGCAGTGTGTTGCAGTGAGCTTGACACAGACATTTGTTATTTATGCTCAGTATTGAAGCGTGAATAAACATGCATTTGCTTAATTTGGATTTCAAGGAGTGGTTGCTGAATGCATGAATGACCATGGATGATCACTACTTTTCAAGGTGCATTGTGGGAAATTTTGAGTCCACTACTTTTTCATCCACTAGACGTTCAGACACTCATCTAAAAGCGCGTAACCACTGTATAGTGATTAGGGCAGATACTGAGAGACAGCCTTTATCTGTTATCCCCAAGATGCTGAGGATTGGTGTACGCCCGTTTGAAGCTGGTCGATATACAGTTCCCATTGCCTCCATGTCGCCGTGGTAATAATAGACCTGGTGCTGACTCACCCTCATGGAGACAGACAGGCTGCTGTTGATGTTGGCTTTCTGCAGCCAGCCCTGCTTCAGCATGCCTCCCCTCTGGGAGCACAGCGACGACGTGTCCTGAGAAAAACAAAGCAGAGGGAGCCTTTCAGGATGACCAGATTTATGAAAGGAGTGTTGGCCTAGCGGTTTGAGCAGTGCACTTGTGCTTTGAGAAGGTTGCAAGTGCCTGGTTAGATCCCCACAGCCTCCACTCTACCTGCTCCCCAGGTGCCACAGAATGGCACCCCACTGTTCCCCAAGGGGATGGGTCAAATGCAGAGAGTGAATTCCCCCATTGTGGGACAATAAAGGAATTTACATTTAAATTTATTTACACCTGAAACATCATTAAATATTCATTTTAGCTGTACTGTAAACCTCACTATTGTTGGCTATATCTGAAAAAAATAAATAAAACTTTCTTCTTAGGAGATCAAAATATTGGAAGAAAACAGGAAAAAAGGCACCAGCATTTTTGCACTAATCCTCTAGAGTCTAGACTAAAGCTCCATCCTTCTTTCTGATTAGCCTCCAGAGAGCCAGCTGACTGCAGCATTGTGGTATGGAAAGGATACGTTCTACTGACCTTCCTCCCTCTGTCTTCTGCCTAATGGTTGATCAGATCTATTTATAGCATATATTAGGATTCTGGTTTCACTGCTTCATAGCTCACTGTAAGAAGGCTAAAACGCCCATCTGACAGACCATACGTCAACCATTTCCATCCACTTGCTTGAGTCAATGAGCAAAGAGACCGTCTTTGTTTCTATTACAAGAGTGCCCTGCATCTCTGAGAGGAATTTAATCTATGAGCTTTCCAGAGCACCACTAAGAGCCCTCCACACTGTGCTGTCTGCTAATAAGCAATCATGTTCATCGACAGAAGGCAGATCCATGCAGGCCGTAAGCCCCTCACCTCATCTTTGGCATCTTCATCGATCTCAAACACATGAGCAAGAAGCTTGTCTGTCTTCAGCCCTTTGCTTTAAAAAGACACAAAAACAGGGTCAATACATGAGCAGCTGTGGGTGGTCAACATTGTCCCTGTTTTCTGCAAATCAAAAATGAAAAACCTCTTGTCAACAAATATTTATGCACAATGTGGTGCATCTGGTCAGGAGTGAATATTTCACACAATATGAAGAACGTGCAGCACCTACTAGCCAGTGTCTGCTAACATGCTAACATGCACAAGACTAAGATAAGGTTTTCAAATTTGGTTGATTAACTTTTGTTTCTTTTTTTGGTAAAACTATGCTGGTCGCAGAGACAATTAGGAGTGGGTAACTCTCTTTCTGGAGGGACTGTCGCTACCCGATCCCGGGAGCACGATCAGCTCTGCACATGCATGAACGGATATACATCTGGGTGTCCATAAATAATGTTTTTATGGTACTAAAATTACTTATTTACAACCTAAACTCACTAACCTCACTAATACACATCTTTAAAAAAATGTTTCATGACTTTTGTGAGACAATTTTAATGTTTTTCTACATAAACTGCTTCTCTGACATGCTCAGAGCAGTCCGGCAAAGTATAATCAAACCATGTTTATCTGCATGTTAGTTGTTTCCTTCTTTAAATTACGCACTATATACCATAATGTTAATATGAAAGGAAACATAAAAAACATAAAACTCAAAAAGACTAGATTTATGTTTAAATCCAAATCCGAAAAAGTTAGCTCCCGAGGTAGCGTAGGATCCCATTTCCGTTGCAGATCGGGCAGAGACGAGTGATGAAACAGAAAAGATTTTAAGGTATTTATTTTCTCATGAAATACATTATTAACATTTAAGACATTATATTTTAGTACGCCTACTATTTTTTTGAGGGAAACACATCATTTAGGGCTCTTTTTTATTTTTAGTTTTTTACGGCACTAGTTGCTCATTTTTATGGACAGTAGGCTAACAGGAAAGGGGGTATGAGAAAGAGGGGGAGTGACATGTGGGAAAGGACAGCAGACCGGATTCGAACCAGGGTCGCCCGTGTCGAGGACTAAGGCCCCCATACATGGGTCCTGTGCACTAGCCACTTTTCCACCAAAGCATGCCCAATCTAGGTTTTTTTTTAACAAAATAAAATTGAGGGCAACCCGGATGTATATCTACATAAACCTTAGTCAGGTAAATAACATGTGCAAATGTGCTGATGACGCATGCGCAGGATGGATCGTGCTTCCGGGACAGATCAGGTAGTGACAGGGACGTTGTCCTGCACCTTTAAAGCCCCATTTACACTACCCTTGAAAAACCGATCCATGCAGAGACCGGTCCGAGCTCGGATCAGTTAACCAGGCCGAGCTCAGTTCTGACGACTGTTTACACATCACGCTATCTCGGTTCCTTGATTCCTCACCACCTAGTGACGATCTGCAGTATTACTGCCAGTATTGAAGGAGGAAATCAAGCAGTTGGTGGCGGTAATGCACCAAAAGTTGTTTGCCAACCACCATAAAACACAAGAAGAAGACGAAGAAGGAGGGAATCAAGCAAATCAAAATGGCGGCGCCCGTCACATTCAGAAAGTTATGCTTGATTATTATTGCTGTACTTTGTGCCATTATTTAAAATGTTGTATGGAGAAGATTTCAATTGTTGTTTATAGTTGAAGAAGAAGTTGTTCTTCTTTTTCTGGAGGGGCATTACCGCCAACTGCTGGAATGGAGTGTGAATCTGGATGTGCAGCCAGAAGGAGATGACGCGTTCTACTCATGTGCTCTTGCAATCAGAGAACCGAGCCAGGGAAAAACCGAGCCTCTGGAACTGGTCTGCAGTTATTTCGGTTCGGTTGTGTCTAGCTCGGTTCAGTTCAGATTGCTTTCCATTTACACACGATAAGTTATCTCGGTTACTGAGCTCAGACCGGTCTCAGCACGGTTTTTCAAGGGTAGTGTAAATGGGGTATAAGAGGTATCTATTATCTGACACACCTGAATCCAAAAGCTAAATTATGACCTTGTTGCCTTTTCTGTTTTAAACAAGAACCTTTTACCCATCTAAAGAGCTCAGTATTTAGTTAAAAAGTAGATTTTATAGTTCTTCTTAGGTACTCCATATAGATTATATCACATAATATCAAAAGAATGTAACAATTTTAGCTTTAGTAGATATCATCCAGTGCTGTAGAGGGCGATGTACGACTGTGAGGCATCGTTTTGAAAAACATCCTTATTTTTCAGTGAGCTCAGAGTTCTGTGCTACATTACTTCTTAGCAGAAGATTTAAAAACTGTATAATTATATTAGAGATTTCTTGTAGGTCACCAGTGAGCAGACTAATCCCTTGTATATCTTAAATAACTGTCAGAAAAAAGGACTTCCAGCTAAGTTCCAGGGTGGTTTTACAAACATTCTGTACATTGAACACAGTTTTTCCTACACTATGTCACTTATTCCCATCAGTTTGGGGACTTATGCTCCTTACTTTGGCAGCATGCGGAAATCTCCTGAGTAAGCCTCATATTTGTAGTTAATGACGTGCCAGTCGGTGTTGTACATCTTGATGCACTGGGGATCAGAGAGCTGGATTAGTAGCAAATACAGTCAGATATAGAGGACAGCAAAAATGTACAGTTATTTTACTCTGTGGAAAACATCCATATCCCTTTTCTGTGAAGGAAACTGAAACTAGGTAGTATTGGTTTATAACGCCTTAAAGGTTACATCTGTTGTTTTTTTGTTTTTTTGCCTGATTTCAAAGAGGTCCTTGCCATTTTCTAGGCTGCATCACAATCACAAGAATCGACCAATGAGACCAGATTTAGAGCCGATAGAACAGTTCAATTGTTCATGTAAGGTTTTACATTGATGATTCTGATGATCAAAAAAAATCATTTTGGCAGGTCTGAGATTACTAAAATCAAGTAAAGATGAGAATAAATACTGATTTTAGAGGAAACAGCTTCTTTTATTTATTCATGTGATTAATCCAACAGTAAAATAAATTCCTGACTCGGACAGCTGCATTCACAGAAAAAAAGCTTTATTTCCCCTTTACTCACAGGATCTTAATAAATTGCATCCCTTAATATAAATTAAGGCAAGCATACCTCTTTAGCAAACAGGCTCCTGGCCTCTTGCTCAGCGTTCTGAGGAACGGAGGGAAAGACCGTCCTCCTCTGTCGGGAGATCTGGGATTCCTGCATCCATGCAAACACGGCAACATAAACAAACCAAGACACATGGGAGCATTCATACAGAACACACTAAGGAGTTTATAACCAGCAAAACCAGGGGAACAAAGTGCTTTTTAAACTATTTGTATCCCTAACTCTATTTCCTGTACATTTTTTTATCTTATAGCCATATAATTCAATGCATTTTAACAGCAATGTTTGAGTTAGGTAAAAACATATAGTAGTGGCATAAGGTGGTAATGACCTTAACAAGCTTAACTTTAGTCTATGCTGTTCAGAACATCTTTCTTCCTTAGCCGTCTGCTGATTGTTCAGTCTTCACATTGCTGTTTGCTCAATAATGTTCTCAAGAAAACCTATGAAGCCTTCATAGAAAACATATAATTGAGCTGACCAGCCTCCATTTCCCTACAAAAAAAAATCCCCACAGCATGCTACTGCCATTGCCATGTCCTCTCCAGGTAATTACCAGTGTTTTCTTTGTTCAAAGCTTAAATAATATACTGATATTAACTAACCTGGATTTTCTTTCACCTGTTGGAATCTATTAAGATGTTTAAAGATTTTTCAGATTTATAACAGGTAATTACAAAAATATAAAGAAAATTCTAAAAGAAGCAAATGACTTTGTGTCTGCATCTCAACAGCGTTGGTGAGTCACATGAAGTTCATGGGAACTCACCGAAACATCGTCAACAGGGCAGAGGAGCAGGTCTCTGTGGGGGTCACTGTGGATCTGGGCTTTCCTCTGAAACACCACCGCTTCGTAGTCCAGAGGCTCGATTATTTTGGGCTGCTCCTTTAACCACAACATTGGAAGGGATACGGGAGATGCATCGTTATCAGTCAAACTACAAGAACGGCTCAAAAAGTGACTTCACTTGTGACAAAAAGTGAAACTTGCATATATCACAATAAGATTAGTTAAAAACTGAAAAATATTAACAGGTCTTTTTTCCTTGTAAGTTTGATTATTATGGTTTATACAAAATTAAAACAGAAATTTACATAATTGGAAAACTTTAATGCGATTCTTTATCACACCATATATTAAAAGTAAACAACTGTCCACCCGACAAATGTGTTGGAGGCAATTTGCCACGGCTGATGCCAACCATGCAAATGTTTTCTGGAACTGCATTGAGATAAAAACCTTTCTGGTCTTCTATCCACCTTACTCTGTGCAAACTCTGCAAAGTACTTTTACTTTTACCACAATGCATCTGGGCCTTATGTCTAATGTGAAGAAAGATGATCAATATTTGGTTAAGATATTACTGTCAGCAGTGAGGAAAGCAATAACAAGAAGATGCAAAGACCTGAGCCACTCAAACATACTCAGTGGATGGAGATTGTGGAGGAAATATTGACGAAGGAAAGAATGACCTTCATTTTAAGATTGAAAATAGCTCAATTTAAAGAAAAAAGGATAACATATAAATTGGCCTCGGAAACTGTCTGACTATCATGACAACCAGTTGCTGTCTTAGATTTGAGTGTTAATTTTGTTTTGGTTTTGTATTTTGCTGATGTTCAGAGGGCTGAGATCAGCGTATTGTTTCTTCTTTTGTCAAAAACAATAAAGACAAAAGTGGAAAAAAAAGAAAAAACCCTTCATAATCCTATTAAGTAGGAAAGTTGAGTGGAAAGAAAAAGCATTGTGGCCTGATGGGTGAAAACTGCTGCGCTAATTTAACTTCAAATAAAAGAAACTAGGGCTGAAACAATGAATTGGATTCATCATAATTAATTGATTATTGAAATGAGCGTCAACTAATTTAGTAATTGATTAATCGTTAAAATGAGAATAGGGACTGTAAAACATGCCTTTTGCAGACAGAGAAAAATCGTGAGCGCGCCCCCATGCGCGCTCACGAAATCCTATACACTACTGTTTAGGCTCTAAAACGTTCTAAATGACTTCGTTTCGAGTAAATCCTGGATGCTACCCACTCAGGACACTTGGATTACATTGGACGAGCAGTACGGAGGAATATTGACACGTTTTTATGGACTTTTATGGACCTTTCTGTCTCGGGCGCCATAGACCTCCATTATTTGAATGTCAGCAGACAGCAAGAAGCCTCCCAGATCTCCAGATGCATTTGAGATATCAAAAAAGTACTCCAGAGTGTTGTTCAGCATGGGGGTGAGTAGAAAATGAAGGCTAATCATGTTTTGGGTGTACTATTCCTTTAACGCCACACCACAATGGCAGCCCAGTGCTCCGCAAGAGGATGGGTTAAATGCAGAGAGTTCATTTAGTTGCTCTGTACTGTGACAGTGTAATGACAATAAAAAAATAATAAAAATGCTGGGGGAAAAAAAAATGCAAAAGATAATAGATAGAAAGAAACTGATAGAAAGAGAGAACAAACCAAGAAATGTTGCAGTCAGAGGATAATTAGTGCCTAGTTGAACCTGTTATGAGTAAAATAACACACTGGACATTTACATTTCCTGTTTTGAGTTTCATAGAGAAGTGGATGATATAAAATGAGCTCTTAGGCCTGTGGACTGCAGCCCAGTCCATCCAGTGTTGGGTCTCAACATAATGGCCAAAAGATTTTTAAATCCAAACATACAGTTTGAAATTCTGTTTTACATATAGTGTCTCTGTAGGTCTGGCTAAGCTGTGAAACTGAGCATGTAAACCTCAGAAGAGCAACACCTATTTGTTTTTGTTTGAGCTTAAAGAATCAGGCGTTGGGAATCTAATCGGCTTATTTTTTTGTGAAACGTGCCAAGGAGAAGTGATGCTTTGGGGTGGACAAAAACTAAGTATGGGAGAAGGGTGAAGAGATTTCCTTCTTGGTGTTTCACAATTTTTCTACAAAAGGATAGCATGGCCGAAGGGTAGCTTTAATTTCAGGCGCCATCACCACTCACCAAAAAAAATGTCCCCGAGTACAGCTGGGTAACTGACTAGGCACGCTTCATTTCACTGAGGTGTAGAGTATCTTAAATATATCTTTTTTATTTTACAATTTTTGTATAATTAATTCTGAGTGGGTCGATCTGTCCGTTAAAGGCCTGTTTTAGAGTCTCTATACTCCAGCTAGTGGTCTATCGATTGCTAAATTAGTCGACGAATATTTCAATAATCGATTAGTCGGGATTAATCCAATTAATCTTGTTTAAAAATTGTTTAAGCCCTGGATCTTTAATTAAGGTACTGAATAAGCTCAGCCAAGAATCGCCACAATGACAACTGACAGCAACACAACAACCTTTTGCATTGAGGCTTAGTATCATGAGACACTAAGGTTTATATTGGAAAACTCTTTACAGCTTGAAGGGAAAACACTTAAGTATGCTTAAAGTTTTATCTGAAATGCTTCTGAAAACTTTTAAAAGCTTTATTTGGCATTGAAGACGTTCTAATATTAAACTTCACAGATTATTCACATCTCCATTATGTCTTGACTTAATAACATTCCAATATCAGGGCTCAATGTTAACCATTGCCCAGTCATTGGCAATTTCATTGCCCAGGCAAGTAGTTTTTATTGTTGGGAGAGTACAAATTTCATTGCATTTGCCCGCCGGGTAAGTGCAATGATCGCAAAAAAATAATTTATCACTCAAAATTACTTTAAAATCACCGACATTCGATGAAAACGACCCAGAAGCGTTGCCGGCGCCATTTTTGTTGCTTTGTACACATTCTGAAAAAGCCGGGTGATTTTCCGCCAGATGGTGTGATTTTTGTCCGGTAATTGGCGCGAATCAGACACAATATAGCCAATAGGTTGACTGAAGACATTAACGAATGGGGGCTGAGCAGCAAACACCCTGTAGTTGTTGCAGACAACGCTGCAAAAATGGTTTGTGCAGTGAAGATAATGCAGCTCATGAATGTCTGCTGTGTCATGTCTGCCTGCTGGAGTGAGGCTTCACTTTTTCACTGTTCACAAACAAGTTTGCACTTTTGATACAGTTTTGTTCACATCTCATGTTTAAACTGTCTGATTTACAAGTTTGCACTTTGTGTTTAATGTGACAGGAAAAAACAAAAATCATTATTGTAAAAACAGATCGAATCGAAATGAATCGATTTAGAACTGTATGTAATCTTATACCCCATTTACACTACCCTTGAAAAACCGTGCTGAGACCGGTCCGAGCTCCGCGGCCGCAGCTTGATTCCAGACAGCGCTCACAGTGTTAAGTTAAACATTCCCTTTTCTGCTGCTGTTGTTCTTCAAAAGTACGTTTTGAAATCGTTTGAGGCGATAACATTATACATTGAAGCCTCCCTGTGTGGTCTGTTTACAGAGTTAGTGCGAAATAAAAAAAAAAAAGTCCGACGTTGAGCGGACCAGAGTGACCAGCAGACCTCCGAGGGTAACCGCAGCCAGGGCTAAATTTACCCCGTCTGTAGTGCACTTCTATCGGTCTAGTTATGTGTGAACTACCGCTCGTTCTGATGGCGGTTTTTTGCGGTTCGGTAATTTTTTTTAATGTTTTTTAAGCTTTAGAAATTAAAAATATTGTTTTCAAAAACTTTTGTGTAGGGAATAAATAGTTTTGACTGTTAAAGAAATGCTAAACAACGTTGCCTGTGATGACGTCACGAGTACGCTTCTGCTCCAATACACATACGTGCTTGTGTGCTCGCGTTCTTGTCAAGTCCGCTCTTCCTGCGTTCTCGCCAAAAACGGACTTGACAAGAACGCGAGTACGTACTCGAGTTCTCGTGAATTGAGAAACGCCCATAAACAACAATCAAAATCTTCTCAAAATCTTCTCTTCTTGGGTTTTATGGCGGTTGGCAAACAACTTTTGGTGCATTTAGGCCACCAACTGTTTGATTTGCTCCTTCAATACTGGCAGTAATAGCGCAGATCGTCACTAGGAGGCGAGGAGTCGAGGAACCGAGATAGCGTGATGTGTAAACAGTCGTCAGAACCAAGTTCGGCCTGGTTAACTGATCCGACCTGGGACCGGTCTCGGCATGGATCTGTTTTTCAAGGGTAGTGTAAATGAGGTATATATCGAATCGATTCCGGACTTTGGCGAAAATACCCAGCCCTAGTCCTCTGTAAATAAAAAAAAAAATACTTTAACTGCACAGTATTAGATCTGATGTTTTAAAAAAGCGCCTTTCCAATATTTTGGGATTTGTAGACAGGCCATTTTGGAAAGAATGTTTGGCCAGTTGTTGTTTTCTAACCAGTAATTTGGGTTTGAAGCTTAGGTGGTTCAAAAACTTCATATGTTCTCAAGATTTCCCACAAAAGCATGATGTGATCCGATCTCCATATGAATGTTCAGTTTAAAAGAACTGCCTCTTTTCCAACCGAGAGCAAATCACAGAAGGCAAATATCTACAGGCCTGCTAAAACCATTACATATGCCTGTGACACCCCTGCATTCGACAGCAGCTCTACTTCCTGTCATGTGCAACAACCGCAGCGCTCAACTTAGAGCTACTTGTGCACGTTGTGGCTCACAAATTACTGAGAGGCAGAGGGAGGAAGCAGCGCACAGAAGGAAAGACAGAAGAGAGCAACTTCTGCTTTCACAGAGGAGTAAAGAAGCTGCTGGCAGGCACTGAGGTCACAGTTTTTCTGATTGAGAAAGAAACGTGTCAAGAAGAACATGATTTCTGGGTATGGCCACAAAGTAAAAGCTTCCAAAATCATTGCAAGCTCTTTAGAGTGTCTCACACCTTTTTCTCCTAACCGTCAGTCTGGAAGCTGAACCCTCAAATTGATCTCAGAACACAAACCTCAGCCCGCCTCCACGGGCCGATGACGATGATGTTAGGAAGGCTTCGTTTCCAGATGTCTGTGT